AGTGTCAATATATCACTGAAACTCAGTGATGACACCGGGTGTCAGGGTAAAAGGGTAAGCAGGCCCATTTAATCCTTTCCAATTAATTTATCTGATAGCTGTTTTCTTCTTCTATATAACCAGTTTCTTGCTAACGTCATTATCTTACAACTACCTTATCTTACAACCACCCAACACACACAGCTCCCTTAGTTCGTCCCCCACCCACTCTAGGCATTCTTTCCAAATCTCAAAATTTCAAAATTACTATAAAGCCCCCCTCCTGGGTTGCACAAACTCACTTTTCCCCTTTTTGGAAACACATTAAATGACCTGGCCGGGCCCGTGTGCGACATACGCTTGCAGTCGGAAAGCGCACGTTAAATCTCCAATATAAGTAAGTAAGTAAACGTCATTATTAGTATCTATAAAGCAAGAAGGCGTCAATACTCTACCCATTTGTCTTGCGTGTAGGGTACAAAATGTACTACCACGTATGAGATAAATTTAATATATTCTAGTTAAATTTAGTCAGAAAGTGCACTTATGATGCCTTAAAAAAGGTAGTGAATAGTTTGACATTTAATTCCTTGTGGAACTGCCACCACCCAACCCCCAATTATAATTTGTTACAATTTACATAGACAAGGGGATACTCATGTAATGTTCTCAATCCATGTCGATCTGAACATAGATGTATTATATTACAGATACATATTTATTCATAACCTCAGTATGATGCACTATTCATATGTGTTTAGTTATTTTTGTGTATCTAAATAGTAAACACGTTTATCCTTTTACGTCTATACATCATTTAACACAAATACTTATCTTTTGAAATATTGTAAACGTTATACTATTTATAGCATATTAAATTATATATATTGTGCTTTACCCTATTGACAGTAAAGCGTTTCAACGATCAAAGTTTTATTATCAATATTATATAAATGATATATGTAACCCTCAAGGAGAAAAGGGACCTTATGGCTGCTAGGATACAATTGTACTGTGACGTCGTAAAGACGTTTGACGTCAACTTACGTCAGCAAAAACCGCCATGTGTGTGGACTGTAAAAGAAATATTATATTTCTCTCTCGTTAGTTCGTAATGTAATAAAACAAATTATTTCAAAACCTTTCAGCATACATTTCTACTTTCAATGAATCAGAGGCTATATCTAAACACTGCAATATGACATAATCAATTATAAGTTGGAAAATGAGACCAAATATTTGATGTCATATATCTCTGTAATAAATATGAATTGAAGCTTGTGAATTGTATTTTTGTGTTTCTAAGATACTGTTAGCTTTAAAAATAATGAGAAGTAAAAATGTGATTAGTCACACATAAGGTCCCTTATCTCATGGTTGGTCACATATGTGACTGTGGATGCAATAACGGTAAAAGCAAACACAACGTGTTCTCCTTGATCTGTAAACCTCAATGTATCAGCCACTTCATATGCCGGGAAGAGGTCTTGACAATCAGGTTTGTTCTGTAATTACAGTCATCCTTCCCACGCACAAAGCACACGTTGTTAGCTACCCCATCTTTTCTCCACTCCTCGGTACGCATCTGTGCAACCTTCTATACATAACCTCTCTATACTCTCCAGGATCACCTACTCCATGCTTTGATGGTTTCACTGAAGACTCGACAGCACGTCTTCGTGGCCCATCCTCGCACGATTATAAGTTATATCATGTACGAAGGTTCCCTGAGGTTAAAGCTGAGTACATGTGACAAAGGCACAATAATCTTTGCTTGTTCGTTACATGTGCCTACTTGAGTCAGGGTGCTGCAACCTGCATGTGCACGTGTGTTCCACCCAAGCAAGGAAGGCAACGCCCTTATTTTCATGGTCCTGTTTAACACGTGAATTCGTGAGGAATAATTATTGCTTTTTGTATATTGTCTCCGAAAATTAGACTTTTGTCACTAGTGTCTTGCACAATGTTGTGCCCAATGTAAAAACAAAACACTAAAAATATCTTATACTGTTTTTCAAGATCAAATTGATTCCTGACAATTCAGCTACGCTGCAAATGTTTCTACTCTGACACTTCATGTTTGGAACTACTATTTGGATTCTTCAAACATCCACTCACCAGGGCTTCGAGTGTGAAAATACAATTCAGAATTTGCTTTTTTTATATTGTCTCCGAATGTTAGAATTTTGTTACCTGTGTTTTGTTTTACATCTTTAAAATCGATAATAAAGTAAGGTCACGTATATCTATTTTTGAACATGTAAAAATAGTTTAGGTTTTATGGAGATTTCAAAATGGAGGTCACTATATTCCGTTGTAAAAAAGCAAATTTGTGCCAGATTTTGTTTCTAAACAAAGAATGTATACCATACAAACGATTCATAATTGTCCATATCATCAAAGTTATATATGTACAATTTGGATCTGAAAAATAATGAATGTATCGCTTTAATTAATATGTGTACAGTTATCCATATGCGTATAATTTCAAACAAAGGATGTCCAGATGAACCTTATATGATGAAGCAATATTAATCATATAACCATATATAAATCTTACAGAATCACATCAATATATTTCATACAAACCATTCTTGTAATACAGTATTTGATAGTTATGAAGTTGGACTGAAACACAGCACAAGCTCAGCCATGACGTCTTGCACTATGTTGTGCCTAATGTGAGAAAAAAACCAACTAAAATATCATATTGATCAAATTGATTCCTGACAATTCAGCTACGCTGTAATGTTTCTACCCTGACACTTTATGTTTGGAACTACTATTTGGATTCTTCTAATATCTGTTCGCCAAGGGTTCGATGGTGAAAATACAATTCAGAATTTATTGTTTACATTGATTTATCATTAGCAACATATGACGACAGTGCGTACCCAATGAACGGATGGCAGCACCATCGTCCCGGTTTCCCATCGCCCAGGTCAAGTCCAGCGCCCACTTGCACAAAGCGATCTTAGCGCTAAGATGATAGTAACTCCCATACTTTAGCAAAGGCTTACAATAGTCTTAGCGCTAAGATCGCTTTGTGCAATGGGCCCTGTTCTTTAATCTCATTTCTCATTGCGCACAGGCGTGATCTAGTTAGTTATTCTACACCTGTCTGGTCCCCATTGTAGGTACGTAAACACCAACTAGCACTAACTAGGCAGACCCGGACACTTGAGTAACTAACGGTCCCTGGTTCGACGCTGGCAAATAGAAACCCACTTACGCGCCGCGGGACAATAGAGAGCCTAATGCTTGTATTACAACACGTGCTGTTTGGTGTGTTGAGATGCTGCTCACAATGACATGCTTAACTATGGAGGTTCATCCTGTTTAAGAGCCAACACGGCGGGTAGAATGTCAGATAATTAAAGGTGTGGATTTTGATTAGTGTACAGACGTCTAGATGTAAGGATACTTTGTGTGTCCTCAATCTTGTGGATTTGAATACACCACGGTTCGTGAAACAGGCGCCTCTGTCATAATGTCTTCAGAGTATACGCTGACGCTAACAAGATGCCATTGCATCTTAAATACTAATCAGTTACAAGCGATGTTTTTCGTGTCATTGACAGGATAACTGATCCAAATGTAACAACTTTATACTATTTTCAGAGAGACGCATCATCATATTAGTATTACTATAAGGTATGTTTTTGTTACTTTATGCCTTGTCGTCAAAGAGAAATCTGTTACAATTTGTATTCACAACATCACTAAACACATGAATAAATTATCATCCTACATGGGTGTTTAGCCGTATATGGGCAGATGGTGAAAATACATATTTTCTCGGAAAGGTTTAATGGCATTGTGAAAACTATGCTCTCGTCAAAACTCAAAACATATTTGACAAAATTTGATTTAGCCTTTGAAGATTACTTGAATCATCTGACAGTTTGAGTCAACTACAACATTAACTAGTCTAATACACAGTCCACCTATTACAGTGTCAAAATCTTATTTCTAGGTTAGAACTGGTGTTCAGCAAACCATGCGTGTCGTAATACGCGACCTGCGCGATAGGCTGGTCAGTCTCGCTGATTTGGTTGTTTCTTGTCATCGTATTCCATTTGCATAGATCGATGCTCATGAGCATCACGGTATTGTCTGGTCGCCTCGATTATTTCCGATCGCCGTCTCATTGCTGGAATATTACTGAGTGCAGCGTTAAACGACAAACAAGCAAACCTAATTTCTCGTTTTGCATTTAAGGTGCGTGCCTCTTACAACATATATGTTACACAGTGAACACAGTACGGTGTCTTAAGATGCATATAACACAGGCAATATTACATCTTTACCCATTAAAGTTTAGGATAGGGGCATTTTGGGCAGGAAGTAGGCATCCCATAGGCAACTTAGTCCCCCTTCTTGCTCATCTGTTTCGTCATGATCCGATCAGAGTCAGAATGTCTGATCGGATTGGCAAAACCAAAACAAGTGATTTGGGTCCAAGAAATTTGCGTTAGGCTTCAGGTGTATCAATAACGATTACATAGACAATTGACTTCCGCAGATTTATCTTTGTGAACTAGAAATAAAAAGGACCAGTGACACCGCCTTAGGTTCCTGGTTCGACTCATCTGTTTCATATTTAGATCCATGCATAAAGATTCAGAGTGACAAAAAAATCTCCACATGCACCACTTTATGACAAGAGGGATGACTTCTTCAACTTTCCAACTGTCATCTTTCCCTTTATGCCATCTGTTTTGAGAAATGTCACGTACCTTGGAAAAATATACACATTTTGGAACATGTTTCAAAATAGTTGAGGCGGTATTTTGAGAGAACCACTGAATTTTAATGTTCGATTTGTATCCATCACAAACATCTTTGAACTTTTCTCAAAGGCATTACAGTTTTTTTTCTATTTCATATGCTATTACACGTTTGGTACAAAATATGTTTTATCAACATATATTTTGGAAGCAGAAACGTGCCGCAGAAGAATCATCATGCTAACTATTGTAAATATATTTAAAAAGCTGAATATAGATTTGTACACTCACCTGTTATTAGAAGAACAGCGTTTAACACAAAAACCTTCATGTCGGCTATCTTCAAAGAGAACACCTGCCAGGTAAGTATGGGTATAACCGAACGCTGAAGGTAAATATCACTTTGTAAGATAGGTACGATATGTGCAGACTGATAAAGGGGTGTAGAACATCGACGGGTGGACTGACAGACGACAGCGAGAACACTACCTGTTCAAACTACACGTGTATAGTGGGCGCGCAGTTAACGCTAGGGGTATCAAAGGCTGTTTTAGTCTACATTGAAACCTCCGGCTCGTGTCGGGCGATGCGCCAACTACTCAATGTTTACATGGGCTTTTACGTTGTTTGATAAGAGTCAGGGCGGAAAACTAGCCGTGGACGATTTCGCGTCTCGTGGTATTTTCTCCTGCTCTGTTCTGAACTTAGGGCGAAGATGGGAATTTGATGTGAGGAGGGAATTATGGGGGCATATTGTTTACACGGGTATCTCCCGATTGTGGACAGACTGCACAATGACCTTTGGGGTGACTTATATGGGTGTTGGTAAAAGGGGACGGAGCTCGTCAAAATGACAGTCCAAGACAGTTTGATGCATTCAGTCAAACACCGGTGTGTTTGATTGCAAGCTCGGGTTTCATGATGTACATATCAATCTAACATTTAAGTATTGCCGTGATTACACAGTCACTGTCTCACTTCCATGCGAGGCGTGGAGGACATTTCCAAATTTGACACATCAGTGACAAAAAAGATGTCCGATGCAATTCCTATTTTTAATCGTACGATATGTTGCATGTTTTTTTCAGGTGGACAATTGACCCACCTTTGCACGTGAAACACACGTTTTTTTTAAGAACGAGCCCTGAACGGTAGATCAGGGAGATACAAAGTGTATTGCCAGTTATACTGTTATCCAAAAAAATGAATAGAACACGTATTTGTATACATTTATATATGCACATAGTACTTTCACTGTCCAATGACAGCTCTTCAGTGTAACTGACAATGGCATATGAATGACGTCATACTGATGATGACGTCATAAATTACACTGTGACGTCATAATGTATTTACACACTCCAGCGGCGACACCTAGGGTGCGTTGCAAAGCGCCAATCGCTTGCAAGCGATGTACAGCGATTCGCCTTACATCAGTGCGCTAACTTTACGCCGCTTGCAAGCGAAACAATCGCTGGCTGAGGTCGCTTCGTTGTCAAACCAAAATGGCGGCTGACTTTGACAGTGGAAGAAGAAATTCTTGACTGGATCAACGAGGAAATGAGTAAAGGCAGCTGACACCCTATCATCCTCGGTCGGATTCACATCTTCAAAGTAGTCATAAATCTGATCAGCTCGTCATCGAGCCTCTTCTATTACGTTCTTCATTACGTCAAGGCAACCAAGCGGTGGTTGCGCCGCCATTTTGGAAGAGTGCGCAAGCGCTTCGAACTGTTGCAGACCACTGGGTGAGCGAGTTAGTTGCTTTCTCTAAGCGATTGGTGGCTTGCAACGCGCCCCAAGTAATTTAACAATAATGTAGGGAGACATTTGAACATTTGCAGTAAAGTATAGTGCTATACTAAAGTAGCAGTGTAACATTTACGATTGAAGTGACGATGAGTCATTAAAAGTATCATGTCTGAAACTGATATAAAGAACATGTTGGACTAACGAGGACTCTATTATTTTATTTTATATTACATGTACACTGAATGTACATTTATATATATTTATATATATCCCTGTTGATGTAAATAACATATATATATATATATATATATATATATATATATATATATATATATATATATATATATATATATATATATATATATATATATTGCCCAGTAGTGTATATGTAACTCCCTTGGTTAATCCAGAGTAAAATCTAAATTAATGATAATCTTGTTGATGTCAATAACATATAACTATATATATATATACAGTATATGACATTGTTATTTACATCAACAAAATTATCATTAATTTAGATTTTACTCTGGATTAACCAAGGGAGTTACATTTACACTGCTGGGCAAAGGAAAGTATACCCCGATGCTTGAGGGTGGATAAATATAAAACAAACAAGAAACGATTATTTGATGATGAGGTATTTGCTAAGGTATTAAGTTATGATTTTAGCCTTACGTTTGCAGTGTTTCGGCGACTGATATAGTCTTGTGATGACGTTGGTAATATTTTGTCTTTGTCAATTTTATGTCTTTCCTTTCTTTAAGCCGGCAGTTAAATTTTATAATTAAATATACCTTTCAGGAAAGGACGAGAAAATAGGCATTTGCTCGCAAGGATATTTTGCAAAGCAAATGAAATGGGGCTTACAATATGGTCAGGTGTATTCATGTATTGGCTTCCCTACCTATATGTAACGTTTTCCCCTATTCCCTTTTTTGTGTTTGTTTAAAAAATCACACCAAACCTGGAAAGTTAACAAAAAAAACCAGAAACATGGCTTTTTACCGCATTGCATTTCAATGTGGATTTTCGCTCTTTTGTATCCTTAATTAAAAAAATAATCTAAACCTTTTCATCTCTTTCAGTTTACCAAATGACTATATCCCCTCGTAATTGTTTCACTAAACGGCGACACAATCTCCGCTTTTCAAACAGGGCATATTCAGGGCACATTGTCCAAGACAAACAGTAGGCTATTAGGTATACAGCACGAAGCTCCCAATAAATAACGGTGGACTTATACAGCCCGCTTTGTGTGGCCATTCCGGTCATTTAGTGATGAGAATAGAGTAGGCCGCCTGACAACTTCACCCAGTGTCTCCATGCTGGCTGCAACTGTTGGGGGATGCTTTCCTTCATCCCTCTTTGTTCCAGAGAGGTTGCATCAGATACTTTTATTGAAGTCATCGGGTTCAACGTCTAACGAACCCGGGAACACACAGCAGTATGTATACACGAAAAGGCATGAGACGGTATAAAAAGGGTCCGCTCAATTTAAGAATTGATGAAAATGTTTTGAAAACTTTTTGAAAGTTGTTCACAGGACCCGTTAAACATTTCTTCTCTCTACAGTACTGTCGGAAATGCCAGAAAATGCTTTTCTGTCTTCATTTAATAAATAAAAATCATAGGGCTGGCCAGAGACCTATGATTGTGGGTTCGAATCCCGCTTCACCCCGATTATGTTTCTAGGTTTGTCAGACCGCCTCCGTGGTCTAGTGGTAGAGCGTCCGCCCGGAGAGCGGAAGGACCGGGGTTCGATCCCCGGCCGCGTCATACCAAAAGACGTTAAAAGATAGTACTTGTTGTTACCCTGTCTGGCGCTCGGCATTAAGGGTCAAAACAAGGACTGGTCTGCTCGGAGTCAGTATACTGTGTCTGAGTGGGGTATTCATGTCAAACTGCGGCATGGTATCTCAGTGAGCTAGCACTATAAATCAGTCCGGACCAGTACAAGCAGCCACACAAACACACACACGAACATGCACGTCGCTACATAAGTGCAATAATCTTGGACGCGACGTTAAACCCCATTTCACCTTACCTAGGTTTATCAACACCATACCTGTGCTCGTGGGTTTGTTTCACCGTCTGACACCTGCATCACTTCGGGCTTTCCTCCCACATTAAGCTGACACGCCATGATATAACTGGAATACTGTGAAAAAAGTGGCATTTAACCCAACTCACTCACTTAACTCGCTCACTCTTCTGTGGTTGTTACTCCAACTAAGAATGTTTTGGGTGTCCGATCTTGCCGAAAATGACAAAAGCGCCTGTAAAATCGAACTACACTACACCACTGTGAAATAATTGATGGCGTCCAGCCCCCATCCCCTATTCCTGCATTGGGTGGTGTAAACTTACGTAAGATTGTCTGAAGTCGACATTGCTAGATGTCAGATAATTCTGCATGGTCGCCTTCAGATTACTCATGGTCGGTATGATAACTGGCGTTATCCATGACGATTGATTCATACTGAGCAGTTGAGTCATACGACTCTTGGTCAGAAGTTGTTTGACCAAGGCTACAACATTCAAGGCCTCAGTAAAACTTTCAAAAGGTTTTAAGGTAGACATGTGGAGGGCATTTCCAAATTTGACGCACCAGTGACAAAAATAATGTCCGATGCAATTCCCTGTTTCCCTGACTTGTGCCATATGTCGTGTTGTTTCGGGTGAACAATTGACTTGCCTTTGCATGTGTTTGTGACGGATGTCACCGATGGTGCAGGAGACGCTCACCTTTTCGCGAACACCTGGTATTATTACTTTTTGATAGTTATTCATAAACACATGCTCATGATATAGTCGGAATCGTAAAATCGACTCTGCTTTATGCAAAGATTTCTATTGGATATGGAAAGGGGTTTGTCGCTTTATTTCAAAACCAGTCTATGAACACATCACCATGAGTATCCTTATGGTGATAACCAGTTTTCTTTTTCGCCCTGAAAACTAGCTCACATCCATCAATAAGCCCCAGACTGCGGGTTCCGGCGTGCAAAACAGTGACACGAATACCTGTACCTGATGGTACCATGGATGCTTTTCGTCCACTACAGCCACATGTAGCCAGTGAAATGATGCGTGTTCACCCAGGTATCATCAGGGTAAATGGCCTGAAAGCCGTGACTGCGAGTCATGAATAGTACGGAGATGATGTGACCTCAAAGACAGGATGGACTATTTTCCCTTTGAAATCGGCTCGGTTATCGCCCAAAGCAGTGTATCAAAACCCCATCTCGTGGGGAGGAATGCCTTATGTAATCCGGGAAATAATTATTGTGTCTTTTATTTCCTCGGGGTACCTTCTGCTCGTAAAGCTTGTACGCTGTACGCCTGTTTTCGTTCGAAGTTTTCTCCTGTAAAATGGTCAACTTTTAACGGCAACATTTTGTTTCTAGTAATTCCGACAGTACATTGAGCACGTGTACATTGAGTGGAGATACACTTATATTAAGCTGATCCTATTTGGTTTCAGGAAGTGCTTTATATATATGTATATATATTTGACCGTAAGCTATAGTCTGGAAGGTAATTTAAGGTACCAACGTTTACTACAATATCTGAAAAACTATTGGACCTACTCCAGTCAAAGTTGGTATGAGTTTATTAAACAGGTAGGGCAATGAAATGGTGAACGAAGCACTCTTAAATATAAATTATTATACGAGCATGTGTGACATACTGATTTTATAAAGCAGAATAAGTTAGAATATTTGTATTTCCCGAGTGAGTTATTCATTTCATTTTGCCTTACCTGTTTCGAAATGGTCAAATTCAGATCAATATTTTCTCTTGTTGCGGAACATATGGACATTTTTAACATTCGAAAATGATCAGAGCAAAGCTATGAGGCAGATGAAATAGGAATGGAATAGGAAATAAGTTATGTTATCGCTAATTAGCTATATTTATTTCATGAGGTTTGTAAATATAGCTATTTTGTTAAAGATAAAAGACTGTGTTAAATTCAATTATTTTCAATGCATACATTCTGGCATTCCTGGCAAGTGCAAAAGGAGTTTTCGTGATACCATCCGCAAGATGAAGATACCATCAAGTTTTTCTCTTGTGTATTTATTGTTTAACACCAGCCTTTAAATAATCGAGTCTGGGCCAGACAAACCAGTGATTGATAGTAAAAGGTGCGTCCGATCCCTTAAGGGTGGATGACACGCAACATGTTAGCATATCGATATATTGCAATGTCATTCTTATTTCATTAGATCATTAACACAAAGACTAAAAGATATATATTTACAAAATTGGTCCCAATCTGTATCTGAATCAAACAAATGCACTTATTACAAAATGGTAAAAAATGATTTATATCCCGAAGAGTATTTATCTTGTTTAAATGTAAAACAATTCCAAGTTTCCTTAGCAAGATTTCGATGTTGTTCACATGATTTATTTATTGAAACTGGACGTTACACGGGTAGTACAAGAGAATAACGCATTTGTCACTTGTGCGCCCTGAATGACATTGCAGATGAATACCACTTCCTTCTTATATGCCAATTTTATGCAACAGTAAGGGCTAAGTACATACCTGAATATTACCATGTCAATCCCAATGTGGGGCGGTCGGGTAGCCTAGTGGTTAAAGCGTTCGCTCGTCACGCCAAAGACCCGGGTTCGATTCCCGACATGGGTACAATGTGTGAAGCCCATTTCTGGTGTCCCCCGCCGTGATATTGCTGGAATATTGCTAAAAGCGGCGTAAAACCGTACTCACTCACTCACTCAATCAATCAATCAATCCCAGTGTCTTTAGATTCACATCTCTGTTAAACAACTCTAAGTACTTACTTTTACAAATTGTATCTATGTACATTTATCATGCAATGAGACACAGAAAAATATTATGTTATAGACTCTACTAATCTGATTATACAAATCATAACTGTACTATAGGCCTGTGGCCTCCTCAGTACGGCAAAAAAGAAATTCATTGAAGTTGGTGAGGAACCACCAATGACATTCCAAACTTCTACAAACTTGAATCAAACTTGAGTTCCTAAAAACAGCCCAAGGCTTTCAACTCTGACTATTTGACCATCAATTCCATCAAACTGGGTAATGATATTTAAATTCAAAGCACCCAGACCTGTTTTCTCATTCGGTTAACGAGGATAATTGGTTGGTTGGTTTGTTCTTTAACGCCGCATTCAGCAATATTTCAACTATATGACGGCGATCTGTACATAATCGAGTCTGGACCTTACAATCCAGTGATTGATATCATGAGCATCGATCCACGCAGTTGGGATCGATGACCGTGCATCAACCAAGTCAGCGAGCCTGACCACCCGATACCGTTTGTCGCCTTTTACGACAAACATAGTCGCCTTTTACGGCAAGCATGGGTTGCTGAAGACCTATTCTACCCCGGATTTTCACGGGTCTAACGATGATAAAATAAGATCAAAACCTAGTCCGAATTTCAGGGTATATGACCGTGTCGAGATGTGGAATGCCTCTTTAACAATCACAACAATCCAAATACTCATATTTCATGACATTTTATTTTCCGCAAGAAACCACAGACATAAGTCATGTCACCAACACGGATGTCTTGATGCGCGCGGACCTTTATGCGCATGTGCCCAATTGCACAGACCAAGTGCCAGTGGGACAATCAAAACTTGACAGACTCCCCTGGTTGCAGATCACACCCTTGGTTTCATCCGCGAGGTCGGGGAACATAAATACGGCAGTTGGAGGACACGGGTACGAACATTCTGAAAACACAAATAGGCACAACGGCTCATATGCTGTATATTAGTCTTTTGGATTATTTGTTAACGTTTTTCTCAGTCCGTAAGGGTCTGTAGTCGAAATAAAAAGAAAATCAAAAAATCAAAATCAAAATTAAAGGTATCGATCTGAGGATACAGCTTTGGTACACTGTACATTTCTTCTTTTTGTCATTGATTTCGTGAAGATCATGTCAACACATTGAAGGCAGTTTCTCTTCATACGTCATAGAACTTCATACTACGCATGCCAACAGGCATTGAGTTCATTCTACTGAGTACTGCTTCCAACGACTATACATGATACCGAATACTTACAAATTTCCGTAGACGGCTTTTTTTTCACGGGTTCAATTTAGTTGTTGTCATACTTTCCAAGCATGTAGTTTTTATTACAGACATATTCTCTATATGAACACATCAACGTATTGACATGTGCAAACACTGAAAGGCTAAGGGATCCGATACTTAATAATGACAAAATGATGGATCAGATAGGAAATGAATCATTTGAAGTTTTACAATGCTGTGACGAGTATGAAACTGGCATGTCCATTTGAGTCTTGTTGGTTTGTTTGCTCTTAAACGCCGCACCGAGTCAAGACCAGACAATCCAGTGATTGACTTCATGAGAATTGATCTACACAATTGGGATACGAGGACATGCATCAACCGAGTCACCGAGCCTGACCAACCGATTCTATTAGTTGCCCATTATGACAAGCATGGGTTGCTGAAGACCAATTCTAACACAGATTTTTGCGGTTCGTTTTGTTGAAGTGAATCATCTTTAAGTATATGTTGGAACCCTTTGTGTTATTTAGGAGATAAACCTACTGTGTTTTGAAATTTTATGTAGTCCCAAGTCCAAATTATAATAATGAGATATCTACTCTACTGTGGGACTACATCAAATTTAACAACACAGCAGGTTTATCTCCATTTTGCTATGACGGCAACAACGCTTTGAAAACGATGCTATCTTGCAATGCATAACAACACAGGTACACAGGTACGCAATCTTAAAATATTCCGAAAAGTGATCACAGTTAGTTATGTAATACTTATTACTAAAGTTCAAGACTTAAAACACCATAGCCGTGAGTACTTCAAAATAAGTGTTCAAAACACATAGTTTTTCAAAAGAAGTTGACAAATAACACTCCAAACTTAGTCCAAAGACAGAAGTTTTAAATTCTTCCATCCTGTTGTACACTGTTTGGACTGACTGTCAATTCTTGGAAGTTGCGAGAGAGGTCATTTCTTGGAAATCGAACATGCCATCATTTCTATTGCAGGGGTGACAGGTTGTAGAAAACGATTTTAAATGCTAAACGAATATATTTCGATAACAAACTTTTTGAGTTAATATTCTATTATATATTTAAAACGTGTCAGTGTTATTTGTTAGTTGGAAATTACCCCCAGTAAACAATGATAACATCAACATAAATGCCTCACCACCCCGAACTTGGATGTTGCAGAACTTGACCTGCACCATGGTTACTCACACCTCACAGCTGTCAATGGCTAACAGTCTTGTGTTTACATTCTCCGTTGCTGGTAAAATGAAGCAAGATGACAACCTGGATCTATGATGTGGTTCAACATTAACCTGTAGATTTACTGGGAATGATAAGAGCCTGCTGGTACAATATGATTACCAATGGAACTGAGTATGACTGAACAGACGGGTTTTTTTCCCTGCAGACAAGTCGGACATTTTGACACGAGGTAGGGCCTATCTCAGTATCTGCATGGTGTGACCTGTCAATTTCAAGATTTCAAGCCAGAGTGTAAATGGAATGAGACATTCGTGACCCAGAAATAGTGGATCCTGTATGATTTTCTTAATTGTGCATGTTCTGGAATGAATTTCAACAAGTTTGACTTCAATTTATGTCGGGACATTGTTTTCGTGGATTTTCGAATGGACAAGTGTTATTCTGAGTTGTGGACTTTCAAATCCTCTTCTGCCAAATCCTTACGATGGTGGTTGATGGAGATGGCAAAGAATATTGATCACAAAAAGGTTTGTAAAGTTTTTTCAAACATTTTTTATAATGTTCTATATTATTTTCGTTATCGGTTGTTTTAATGAGGAAATAGCTTAAATTGTTCCGATTCTGGTCACCATAGAACATTTGCCTAACAGTTTCATAAACATGTCATCTGTATGCAAAAGATATGCCTTCGTTAAATCTTTTAATGTCATCATTGAAGTAGTCACGGTTGCGGCCTAGCCAACGCCCAAAACATCCGATATCAAACAACCATATTTCCTCTATTTGATGCCACGCCATCTATAAATTTCGCGAGAGCCCTTGAATCCGCGTGTGTTAGAGACCTGGCTGGTATTAGAGAGGCATCGTGTATTAGAGGAAATATAGATACGTTTTACAGTTCATATGGGGGGTGATCGATTGGCAGCCATTTTCTATGAATTGATATGTAGGCTATCTATGTATTCATACGCATTTTTGTGTGAAAAGGGTTAAAATATTTGAAAGGGGTTTCCGTAGCAAAAAGGAAACCCATTTTTAACCAATCAGAATCAAGCATTCGTCAATGTCATGGTAGAATTCTATTTATTCCATCATTTGGTCGTCATAAACAATTCATTAATATGATATTATTTAAAACGACCACATCATACCTCTTACAATATACAACATCTTAATGTATATGCATTTTCCGTTAATTTCAGCGCGTTTTGAGACCAGTGGAAAGTTCGTGAATGTTATTTTATGCCAGTCAGTGTTCTGTGCAAGCAATATTGCAAATCCATGTTATTACGTGTCTTGACCAGACAAATCAGTGCCTTGTAGCATGGGCAACGATTTTGTTAGGGTACAATGGCATACATTGTAATCACACAGTGTTTTGTTTGGCTATAAAGGAGTTCTAAGGTGGTCTTGTCTAATCTTGCATCCCCCTAGAACCAGTGGAAAGGTATTTACAAGACGACCCTAGCTTATGAAACTACTATTAAACCTGGGACAGATAGCAACGCAGCAAGAGACGAACGCGTTGAAATGTAGGCACTTTGTGAGTTGAGGTGAAATAGGGTTTGACGTCACGTCCAAGAATATTGCACATTTATATAGCGACGTGCATGCACGTGTGTGTGTGGCTGCTTGTACTAGTCCGGATTGATGCCGATTTATAGTGCTAGCTCACTGAGATACCATGCTGCAGTTTAACATGAATACCCCACTCTGTCACAGTATACTGACTCTGAGCGGACCATTCCTTGTTTTAGCCTCTTAATGCTGAGCGCCAGGCAGGGTAACAACAAATACCATCTTTTAACGTCTTTTGGTATAAACGGCCCAGGATAGAACCCCGACCTTCCACTCTCCGAGGAGATGTTGTATCCACTAGACTACCGAGTTCACATTCGGAGGAATGCTTTTTTTATCTTCCATTTTATTAGTTGTTTTTTAATAGTCGACGGATCACTAAATCAATTTAAATAAACTGATAGCCTGAAAGAATCAAAAGTAGTTCAAAACGTCATCCTGTCGCAACTAAAAAGTATATATGAACAGCACCTAGATATTGTTCCCACATCAGACTGGGGCTTGTAAAGCTATATTTAGCAGTGTCGTTATACTTCCATATTGTGGGGCGGTCGGGTAGCTTAGTGTTTTGTTTAAGCGTTCGCTCGTCATGCCGAAGACCCGGGTTCGATACCCGACATGGGTACAATGTCTGAAACCCACTTCTGGTGTCCCCCGCCGTGATATTGCTGGAATATTGCTGAAAGCGGCGTAAAACCATATTCACTCACTCTTCCATATATTACTGACTGTGGTTGTGACCATATATCTTGTAGATGTTAATTTGTGCTTACAAACCTCTGTGGCATATATGACTTTTACCCCCAAAAAGTAATTTATAGAAACTTACGTGGAGAAATTTCGCAGGTTTCTCCACCGTATCCGGCGGGGCACTGACAGCTGAAGCTGCCGCCAAAGTTGCTACAGACGCCGTTGTTCAAACACGGGTTGGAATCACAAGGCAGATCGGTGGTGGTTGCTGAAAAATGTCAGATACGTGAACAATGAAAGGAGGGTAGGAGTAGCATGCAGATTCGGGAACAACCTCTTGTTGATGGTACATACCTTTTTTTCATAAGAACCGGTCAACATATATTTGATAAAACACTACGTTTCAAAACAACAGAGGTGCGACAATTTCGAGATTGACTGTACTTTTGCCATACGCAGTCTTTTGTGGCAGAAGAATTGCTGGCTGCGGTGTTAGGTAACATACATTCTATAAGACACTACCTTTGAAAACAAGCGGAGAGTGATAATGTCACGATTGAGGGCCGGCATGTATGGCAGAAGAATTGCCTTAGGCATCAAACACAGTTTAACACTCGAATCTCCGGGGAAGAAAAGGTCTTCAGCAACTCATGCTTGCCGTAAGAGGCGACAACGCTTGTCGAAAGTGGCGACTAACGGGATCGGGTGGTCAAGCTCGCTGGCTTGGTTGATGCATGTCATCGTATCCCAGTTGCGAGGATGGATGGCCATGATGTCAATCACTGGATTGTCTGTTTTAGACTCGAGTATTTACAGACTGCCGTCATATAGCTGGAATATTAGTGAGTATTGCAAAGAAAACACAAAGACAATGTACTGCACCCGTTGGGCAGTCGACGCTGTCGGAGCAGTCTTTGATGTCGTCGCTGAACCTGTAGCCAGGCTGGCATTTATACTGGACCCATTCTTGCTGGACGCATCGGTAGAATTCATCGCATTCAAGGCTGTTGCCAGGGAGACGAGTGTCGTTCGTGCAGGAAGAGGGTTTACCTGTTGATGATGGTGGAAGAGAGAACGAGTCAGTTGACAACCACATCCTAGTCGGCTTTAACTATGAACTGTGTCCGCTAGCATAACACGGCGTTTTGAATCAAACCTCATTGGACGGCCAAATGACACGAGCCTAGATACCTTGAACTGTATCGTTCTGACACTCAGGTACTTAGGTACTACCAGTACTATGCAGTCGAACCTCGTTTTCTCGAACTCAGTTATCTCGAATGTTTCCTCATTTTGAACCAATTCTCCAGTCCCGACCACTTGCATTTACAGCTTTGAGAAGCACAATTATAGCTATTACCTGTCAACTGTAATGGTTTTGTATTGACAAATACAATGTCGTTAGTACACATGAGTAAAAACATGGCGGCACTTTCTGGTTACTTAAAAAGCGCTAATCAAAGTTGGAATAAAGGATTCAAAGCCGCATGACGCTGTACATTGAGATCAGATGCAGCCGTGTGACGCCATCTGTACCTTTGTTTCTGAGCACCAGGATTACGATATATCCTAATGTGCGCATTTGGAAAGGAATGTAGTACTGTAATGGTGAAGCTTCCGTGTAAGCGTTCCGAAATTCTGTTTCTGAATTTAGCCGAATATGAAACAAGAGAACATGGCGAACACCTACCGCATTCGACGTTGTATACGAAGTCACATGACCCCGTCGCGTCGTTGAAGGATGGACTCACTGGGGGGCAGGTAAACTCCACCAACAAGTTGTTGACGCAGCCGTAGAATTTGCTGCAGTCGTTGGGGTTGGCCTGGTAGGGGTCGGAGGTACTGCAGGCTCCTGGAACGGAGAGTGAGTGTGTTGGATTTGTCGTGGCCTTTCAGTTCTATTGCGCCGTGTCTTAGAATGTCGGGAATATTTTTTAGGTCTTAACAATTGGCTGAATCCATCAGCAGGTATATCTGTTGCTATGACCCTGTTCATAATCGGTGTGAATCAGGGCTTGAAACTACTGATCGGATCCTGGCACGGCTATGGGACGTAACTCTACACAGCCGACCTTTAGACTTTTGTACCAACCGCGCCTTCCTAAACGAAGGCTATTTTCATTAGTTTGATGCTTACAAATGAATCTCTGATTTGACGTAAAACTGAAGTAAACTTTCGATTTTTATGATGATGATTACCGAAAATTAGCCTTCAAATTTACACAATGAACCTAATTATATATATTATTGAAGCTGTGGGAATATTTTCTCCATAACCATCTCTAGGTAAGTATATGCTTTAATCAATGAAAACTGCGCATACTATACCTCCTGGTCCGTCGGCTGGAAATTAAGCAAAAAATTAAACACATTTATATGAATTTATTAACATCAAAATGGGAAATATGAGCATGTACTATTGCATCGTCTGTAAACGGTATTATACATGCATATTAACGTCCGTGAAAAAGAAAGTATACACTTGAAAATTGGATTTGACCAAAAAACCACAAATATTATCAAGACGTAAAAAGGCTGAAAACAATCGCTGAGATACCTCAAACCTAAGGTCCAAAACACAACTGTGACAACCGCGTCTGGACAGTGCACACTGCAGATCTTTGAGCGACTCCCGGTCGTCCTCCGTGCAGGTATCTGTAACGACGCCGTCAAGCAAACCAAAAAGCTGTCATCAAGCAACAACAAGCCACCAACAAGCTGATAAGCTGGCAAGAACTTGCTACCATACTTCAACAAGCTGTTTCCAAGCTACCAACAAGCTGATAAGCTGGCAAAAACTTGCTACCATACTTCAACAAGCTGTTTCCAAGCCACCAACAAGCTGATAAGCTGGCAAAAACTTGCTACCATACTTAAACAAGTTGTTTCCAAGCCACCAACAAGCTGATAAGCTGGCAAAAACTTGCTACCATACTTCAACAAGCTAGTTCCAAGCCACCAACAAGCTGAATAGCTGGCAAAAACTTGCTACCATACTTCAACAAGTTGTTTCCAAGCCACCAACAAGCTGAATAGCTGGCAAAAACTTGCTACCATACTTCAACAAGTTGTTTCCAAGCCACCAACAAGCTGATAAGCTGGCAAAAAATTGCTACCATACTTCAACAAGCTGTTTCCAAGCTACCAACAAGCTGATAAGCTGGCAAAAAACTTGCTACCATACTTCAACAAGCTGTTTCAAAGCTACCAACAAGCTGATAAGCTGGCAAAAACTTGCTACCATACTTCAACAAGCTGTTTCCAAGCTACCAACAAGCCGATAAGCTGGCAAAAACTTGCTACCATACTTCAACAAGCTGTTTCCAAGCTACCAACAAGCTGGCAAAAAATTGCTACCATACTTCAACAAGCTGTTTCCAAGCTACCAACAAGCTGATAAGCTGGCAAAAACTTGCTCTCATACTTCAACAAGCTGTTTCAAAGCCACCAACAAGATGATAAGCTGGCAAAAACTTGCATTCATACTTCAACAAATTGTTACCAAGATATCAAAAAGCTTTTCACATCGACCAAAAAATGTTTAACAATTGTCTAAGAATTTGTCGACAAGGTATCGACAAGCTGACAACAAGGCACCACAAGCGTTTGATGGGGGACAATTCCAGACGTGAATATTTTTATTTACCCAATATATATTGAAGGCAAGGCACTCTGGTACGTGGTTTAAAGACTTGCGAATTTACTTTCAAAGTAATACATAATTAGTGTGAAAATTACAATGACTGTTCAGTTGTCAATACTAATTAATTTGAGGTTGTTTCCTGCCTGCAATACATGTTCCTCCCTGAAACCTTCGTGTGATGTACACGTCACTGCAGCAAAAACATTCAGCAGGTTATCCAGATGAAAATTCGTAATTTCACAGCACACGATGTGTATACTTGAACCGCGATAATCTGGACACCGTCACATTGAACACCTCAAAAGTTCCGTCACACGAAGCAATGTTAGCTCATCTCTCAGTGAACGCTATCAATTTTTTCATGTATGGTTTGTATAAACTACACAATGAAACTGTTCATCCGGCAGCCTGCTTTCCGGGTGGCTATTGATAAGAACGTCCACAGTTAAGTACAGGAACATTTCAACGTACATATGATCCATTGCTCTGAAAATCTGCTTATGAGGACATTTTACTGAGAAGGGTACCGGCCAAATTATCGAGGTTTCAATGTATATTGATATACGTACCATTATACCATCCGCGCCTCCTCAGAACCAAGGCTATTTCGTTCGTCTTGAGGCTCGCAACCAAGTGTACCCCCACCCCTATCGTTCAAAGGGCGACCAACGAAAAACACTTTCTCTCATGTAACTTAAAACGTTTAACTACACAGTGTAACGTGACCAATCGGATTACCAACGTGCATCTGTGCACTCGGGGTAGAAATAGTGAAATTGTAATTAATACTTATGAATAGCAGGTCAATGGTTTCGTGTTGTAGCTGAGAACAAAAAAGCTGATTTGTTTTGGGAACAAAACAGAGCCAAAAGAAACAAAAACAACAGAAAATAAAACAAATAAACTTCATAAGCTGCTGATTGCTTGTAGAAAATCGGCACATAATGTTGCTTAGTAGAATCTTTAGGTTTAATGTACCTGCCGTTGTAGGAGTCTCGCAGTTGTTGCCCATGTAGTTTGGCGGACAGGTGCAGACGTAGGTGTTGCCGGACGTCGCGCACGATCCTCCGTTCTCACACGGAGCCGTGCTGCAAGCTGAAATATCGATCACTTGTGTTCATTATCGATCAATCTATAATCTTTCCCTCCTTCATTCAAGCCCCCAAAATATTTTCCTACCAAATAAGTAGTACATCTCATAAAAGAGTTCTGTTTGATTTTTTCCACACTGACGTAATTCTGCTACCAAATAGATTTTTAGGGCGCTATTGGTGAGGTATAAAAACAAGAATCCATTAATTAAAATATAGTTTGAAAATCAATTACAAAATCTTTCAATTACAAAATCACTTCTAAATGATTCAAGAGATATTCAGTTTGGAAGTGAATACTTTACCGTCTGTCGGGTCGGATGGGGCTGAAACGACACAAATGTATTAGAATATATATATATATATATATATATATATATCACACGGAGCCGTGCTGCAAGCTGAAATATCGATCACTTGTGTTCAATATCGATCAATCTATAATCTTTCCCTCCTTCATTAAAAGCCCCAAAAATATTATCCTACCAAAATTGTAGTACATCTCATAAAAGGGTTCTATTTGGTTTTTCTTCACCATGATGTAATCCTGCTACCAAAAAGATTTTATCACGCTATTGGTGAGGTATAAAAAACAAGAATCCATGAATTAAAATATAGTGTTTGAAAATCAATTACAAAATCTTTCACAACTTCTAAATGATTCAAGAAATGTTCAGTTTGGAAGTGAATACTTTACCGTCTGTCGCGTCAGATTGGGCTGAAACGACACAAATGTAATAGAAAATATATGTATTAATAATACCCGGTGATGCACTGACGTGTTGTAAAACAGACAAGAGTCCCAGAAACACATAACTTACTCTTGGTTTGGCTTGTCAACCAAGAGCATCAAAACCTTGGGTGATTTTAACCTGTCTACGCTCCGGTACTGTTCTTGTTTGTTTGTTTGTTGTTTAACGCTGCACTCAAGTTTATGACTGCGGTCTGTATATAATGGAGTCCGGGACAGATCATCCAGTGATTGACAGCATGAGCATAAATCTTCGCCATTGGGATACGATGACATGCATCAACCAAGTCGGCGAGCCTGACCACCCAATCCCGTTAGTCGCCTCTTACGACAAGCATAGTCGCCTCTTACGACAAGCATAGTCTCCTCTTACAAGCATAGTCGCCTCTTACGACAAGCATAGTCTCATCTTTCGACAAGCATAGTCTCATCTTTCGACAAGCATAGTCTCATCTTACAAGCATAGTCTTATCTTACGACAAGCATAGACTCCTCTTACAAGCATAGTCTCATCTTACGACAAGCATAGTCGCCTCTTACGACAAGCATAGTCTCATCTTACGACAAGCATAGTCTCATCTTACGACAAGCATAGTCTCATCTTACGACAAGCATAGTCTCACCTTACGACAAACATGGTTGCCTCTTACGACAAACATGGTCGTCTCTTACAACAAGCATAGTCGCCTCTTACGACAAGCATAGTCTCATCTTACGACAAGCATAGTCTCATCTTACGACAAGCATAATCTCATCTTACGACAAACATAGTCGCCTCTTACGACAAACATAGTCGCCTCTACGCCATTTGGACACGATGACATGCATCAACCAAGTCAGCGAGTCTGACCACCCCACCCCGTTAGTCGCCTCTTACGACAAGCATAGTCGCCTCTTATGACAAACATAGTCGCCTCTTATGACAAACATAGTCGCCCCTTACGACAAACATAGTCGCCTCTTACGAAAAGCATAGTCGCCCCTTACGACAAACATAGTCGCCTCTACGCCATTTGGACACGATGACATGCATCAACCAAGTCAGCGAGTCTGACCACCCCATCCCGTTAGTCGCCTCTTACGACAAGCATAGTCGCCTCTTATGACAAACATAGTCGCCTCTTACGACAAACATTGTCGCCTCTTACGACAAGCATGGGTTGCTCAAGACCAATTCCAACCCGGATCTTCACTGGTTCATGTGTGTCGGTGTTTGTCTACGGTGTGCACTACCTAAACTCGGTTTGTCTACATATCGGGCCGACAACGCGTCGTTAGCGCTACGGTTACCATAGATCTGCTCGCGACAGTCGTAGCACTAGGAATGCATTGTGAACAATCTACCAGGACTTTCAGTGCACCCAATTTCAAACCGATAAACAACAACTGCCAATCACTCTTCCCGCTGTCTATAATATTTTATTATTACCCATCATGTACTGCCCAGGTCCGCCTCTTGGATAGTTCTAATACACTGTACACAATACATAATCCACCACCAAATACCCTATAGCCACCTCCTCCCACCCCCACCCACAACCCGAACCCCAACCCCCAACCCCCAACCCCCAAAGAGCAACACTCACATTGGCACTCCACGTTCTGTGGCCAATCACAGACCTGGGATGTGGGGTTGTAAACCGTTCCCTCCCCGCAGGTCATCTCCACCCATACATTTGCATTGCACTGGTAGAACTTGGCACAGTCGGTTTCATGTGACCGGAAGCTGATAACTCCGGGAGAGCAGTCCTCGGCTGGTGGAACTGCTGCACACACGGCTATCACTGTGAACCAACACAAAAAGCAGTCTCAATGCTTCATGACTGAGTGAGTAGGGTTTAACGCCGCTTGACACAGTTGGTTCAATTACATGATGTTATGTCAGCTTAATTTCGTGGATGATCGCTTCCGTCATGGTGCTGACAAACCAAGGAGCATAACCTGGCCGACTCGGGGATTGAACCCATCATCCAAGGATTAGGCAAGGCGAAGGGAAACAACTCCGCACGGCGAGTTTGAAAACATAACAGCTTATCCTGTGCCACTCTCGATGCTTTTGTTATTTGGTCATCAAGGAAACGCGACTCTAATTACACCTGGTTATATGTGGGTAGGTATCTATAAAAACGCCCACACTTTCTTTGGACTCTTTTACTGCGCATGTCAGTAAGGGAGAGGTTGTTTGGGAACGCCCAAGTCAGCAATGTTCCAGCTATATGACGGCGAGCTGTAAATAATGTAAATAATTCAAATCGGCTTTACACCTATCTCCCTCACTCATGCACTCTTATCGTGGTTTCGTCATGGTACCCGGAACACGATGTTGCTTATGTGGCGTTAAAAAGGCGACAAAACCTTTCCATATTCATAAGAAATCTCTGCAAAAAGCAGAGTAGTTTGTACAATTCCCACTACATTATCAACAATATTCAAGCCCATGTTCAAGCAAGTTGACGAAAGATTTATGTGAGATCGTGAACCTCAACCACAGCCTGCCGATTAAGGTGTTGGATTCGGGCTCTATCACAGAATGGGCATAATTCGAAGGCCTTTTGTGTTTTCGACTAGCTAAAATATTTGTTCAAAGAGGTATAAAACCAATCTTCAAACAAAATGTATGAACAAACCTCATACGCTATCATACATATATTTGTCATCCGGCACAAAATCTTCCAACGAATTCGGTTATTAATAGAAAGAAACACCATTACCAAAGCCGATTATACCCTGACTGTGATTGAGAAGAGTTCTCGTTAATGATAACTGTCCAGTTTACTTTGTCACTTGATGAAACCCAATAAACTTTGAACTCATACCCTAACATTCCACTATGTATCCATCAATTCAAGGAAATATTATACAATACAGGTATATAGATCTCCTTAATATAATATTTTTGTCTTTTACAAACATTATAAGGTAATAATGTTATTAAGAATCCACCTACCGGCCAGAAAAAGCAATACTTTCCTCATATCCAGCATCTTGATAACACACGACTAAAGATTGAAATCTTACTCTCTGAAAATGTCAATCTACCCGTGTATTCTATTATACCATGGCGACAGTGTCAATCAAGGAGGAAGACATCACAACGAACCCTCCCTGACACGACAACAGCTCATTGGCTCATCGATTTCACTGACGAGAATTTGATTGGATATTGCTCTACAAGACGCCCGGCGATTGGCTTACCAGAGGTAGTTGTGATGGATCAATCATACCCATCCTATGATAACTTCCCAGTTTGATGAATATCATGACAAAGTGTTCACCAAATAAGATCGTGTGTTTCTAACAAGGAGATGTGTGCACCGGCAAGAGCATATCTGATTTCAACAATAGAACTAATGTTTTCATGGGATTAGCGAACTGTCCCGCTATGTGTATCTACTCTGGTACATATTTCCAGATCTTGAAGTAGCTATGATCATGCGTTTTACTTTTGTGGCCTGTAAACGTTACACCATGTGGATGTTATGATTATGATTATCATTATAATGCTTTCAGAACTATACACATACGGGAAATACCATTTAATATTCTAAAGAACTGGGCTGGGAGTTGTTGAAGACAGCATATTTGTCAATCACTGATTAAGAACATATTTTTATTTTTTTCATAAGGGCATCAAACAAGTCAAGCGAACACTGTTTAAATTGGTCTGAGCCTAAAGCGGCTCTGTTCTGCCCCCTCTGGTACAAACATCGAGGCAATGGGCCAGTGAAACTAACACATTGTTCCAACATAATCAGTCCAACTGTTTGACTGAAATAGAAATTCAATAGAACCAAACTGGCTACACCTGTCAGCTTGTCGGAGTGATCCGTGAAGATCCAGGGTAGAATGAGTCTTCAGCAACCAACGCTTGCCGTAACGGGCGATTATGCTTACCGTGAGAGGCGACTATGCTTGTCGTCAGAGGCGACTAACGGGATCGGGTGGTCAGGCTCGCTGACTTGGTTGATGCATATCATCGTATCCCAATTGCTTGGATCGATGCTCATGATGTCAATCACTGGATTGTCTAGTGCCGACTCGATTATTTACAGACCGCCGTCATATAGCTGAGTTCGTCGATAAACAACAAGCAAACAAACAAACAAACAAACAAACAAAGCTAGTCGGAGTCGAGACCGTGTTCCAAGCTGGTGTCCAGTCCCTCTGCAGACCCTAGTGGTACCATGTGAGGAACCAAGGCGCTCTGTCTGTCTGTCTGTCTGTCTGTCTGACACACATGATACAATTCGAGAATGGAGACAAGCATTCATTTAAGATGGCTTGAAATAAAACCCCATAACAACCTTTTAACCTGTGCCAAGACCCAGTGTATTTGTCAAAGTGCAATTTATTTTTTATTAGATCGTATAAGAAAAATCATTTCAAACATATTTTAAGAAATGGATACAATTTTCAACGGCTTAGCATTCCGACTTGTAAAATCAGAGAAGCATCTCATGTTGAATAATGCTATCTTTATATTTCCGAAATGTAGTTCAAGCTAACGGTGTTAACAAGGATGTTGTCATGGGTCGTATACACAAACTGAAAAAGAGAAACAGAACTGACCAATTCAAACAACCTGTGCTTGTCGTAAGAGATGACTAAATGGATCAGGTGGTCCGGCTCGGTGTTTTGGTTCGTGGCGTGGCATCGAACCCTGAGGGATGTAGATTTTAAGTATGCGGTTTTGGGGAGGGGCGGGTGGTGCAGGAGTATGTAGGGTGAATCACTATATGAGGACGGAGTGAGGTTTAACCACACAATTATCAGTCCTACATCAATGTGGTTAAATAAAATATTGAGGGATTTCACAATTCGTAACGAAGGGCAGATGCAACAAAACCTGTTCGGTAGTCCGAAATACGAGCTGTTGTGTGAAATTAGCTGGTATGTTAACTTTAAGGTGATTGCTAAAGGAAATTGTAATAATCACTGCACAAAGTAACCAGGTGAAGTTAAATTGATCTCAACGTAACACGGAATACTATTGTATACTATGTACAAAACTATATGTATGTAATAAATATCGCTTCAATATATTATTAGTGTTAATATATGAATAATTTTGGGGAAAAAATTAATTACGATAATGCGTTTTACTGTTGTAAAATGTTCATTTTCTATCATGAATTGTATATTTAATTGGAACTGAAACACTCCCATTGGCTGTCAGTATAGGTAATAAATTTATACATACTGTATTGTTCAAATTCAGTCAAAGCCTCCACGTTGCATAAACGATCAACAGGATGCAGTACACTACTGTACTTATCATAACGTTATCCTTACAGAATAGTGTTGTCTTTGTAAACCTGTTCAACAAACAGTTTGAAAGGTGTGTTACGATTGTTAAACTTCCCACAGCGGTCGACACTATGGCGAAGTGATGCGGCTGCTGAGGTTCAGCTTGAAGGTGATGTGTTTAGACAAAGTATTATTGTTCGATAATTTGATACATCCGTGAGTGTCACAATGTCCCGGATCGAAGCTCCAGTCTCGGCATCTCGTCGTGACAACACACGGCAGGTTGGAACTGTTTTGTCACCGAGTTATGACAATCGAACGCTACAGATGGGCTCAGCTAAGTAAACAGGGCGTGAGACGGGGAATGTCAGCATGACTCAAGTCTGAGACGGATTTTGATGCACAGTTTGAAACGGGCGTGGAACTGTTATTGTTGGCTATATAGATTAAGTTACATTGGGCCTGCATCTGTACATATAACCTATGTTAATGGGCGAGTTCCGACACTAGAGAACATAATGTGCCAGCGATTCGCTCTGAACAGTTGCATGCCTGAGGATACGATAACCCTGTGTTCGAATCCCATTTTCGCCCTCTCTGTTGGTTTGTCAGCACCATGCCTGTTCTTGTGACCTTCACCAAGGCGGTAAACGTTAACGATCTTCATCTTAGCAAACGTGAAAAATATTTTCAGACAGAATTAACATTTAAAAATGTGTTGTTCTTGGGCACATATTGCGATATACTTTAGTTTTTATAGCTAGTTCTTGAACATTGGAACTACACAACCTCATAACCTACAAGATCTTCTTACCCTAAACCATTTTTCAAGATATCAGTTTAATTTATATTAGGATATTATGGTTTTGTAAACATCACAATTAGAAGTTTCTAAATATCGAGCAAGGCAGGAGTATCTCTGTGCGGTGTCAGGGGAAAAACATACTTTTTTTATGCAACTTGTGTGGGTGGCGGGCGCTCCTTGTAGGGTAAGACATGTTTACCCTTTTCGCGAAAGTTGGTGTCATCGTTGAGTTTCACTGATCCATTCATTTACTTTTCACAGCTAGTTTGCTTTCACGCCCAATGAATTCTGTTTCGTTGGAATTGTCATAGTGTGTCATGACCGATTAAAGATAGTAATATGAAAACATCGGGTGTTCTTTAACTCATCTTGAGTTGTCTATATCCCGAGTGAAACTTTTAAGGCGGTAGTGTCAAAGTGATGGGGGGCCGTATCCTACACCACGAGATCTGTCTTGGTTTTGGTTCAGGGAAATTTGACAGCAAATCGCTACATGAATCAAATTCTTCAACATCATCTTCTTCCAACCACTGACCGCCAGAGGGAGCATCCAGGACAACGCTCCACCGTACACAGCTCGTGTCACTGTAAACGACATTCATAATGCCAACATCAACGACTTACCCTGGCCGTCGAGATCTCCTGATCTCAACCCAATCTTACACCTCTGGGATGAACTCGATCGACGTGTACGTCAACGTCAGAACACGCTACAGACACTCCCACAACTGGCCAACGCGTTACAAGCAGAATGGCGCAGAATACCATAGGACAGACTTCGTACACTTATCCAGTCAGTGCCGAGGATATGCAGAGCCGTGATTGCTTCCGGGGCAGTCACACGAGATACTGAGTTCAGCGCCACCTTGTGTCCTTATGTGACATGACAATGAACTGTTTTGAATGCGACAACATGTGACTACCGAGCTCCAAAATTTCATATTTGTAGCGACGATATTAAATTAAATATATCGACTTTCCTAGATACAATAAATTTACTAAAAATCTACCTCTGCGTTTCTTTTATGGGAGAGTTTAGGTAGGGCAGAAGGTATTGCGTCTATGAAATGTTGAACGAAGCACTCGTAAATAGAGATTATAATGCGAGCATGTGTGGCATACTGATTTTATAAATCGAGTGTTAGACTATTTGCCTGCGACTCAGTGCTTGATTGTGTAAACAAAGCATGTCAACAGGGTTGTAGATATAGACCTGGGATGATGGAATTGGTCAATTGTTCATTGTTATGTAGTTGTTGTTTCTTGTTTAACGCCGCCCCCAGCAATACTGTTCATCGATCCCACTGCATTGCTTGTTAAACGCTAATGACATTTTTAGAAACGTGTGATTTAAAGATGAAGTCCACAGGGAAACCTTGAGAACTCAAACCCCATTATAATTAGTTGGATACAAAGAAACACCGTAATACCGAACTCGATAACTTGACACATAGAAACCTCGTTAAACCGAACTCCGTTACCTTTATACAGGACAACTTAACTCAAACTCAATTCTCTTGATACAGAGAAACCTCGTCAATCCGAAATCTGTCATGTTGATGTAGAGAAACTCAGCAAAGTGCACTCAGTCATACATACGTACGTACGTACCTACCTACCTACCTACCTACCTACCTACCTACCTACCTACCTATCTTCCTCTGATTGCATGTATGACAGCTATTATTAAATTTGCCTTTATGGGTAAAACCATATGCATAGTGACAATACACAGTAACTTTATGATGGAAAGCTTTAAATATATAATCACGGATGCGCGTTCATAACATGGAAAGCTTTAACTAAATAATCAGGGGTGCAGGTTTATGACATGAAAAGCTTTGACTAAATAAATTAGGATGTACGTTCGTGTTTCCGTCATGTTCATATTCAAGTTATTTCAACCTGTCTGTTATATACACACACCGAAAGCAAGGCCCCTCTACAATGGAGGGTGTTATGATTTTCCGTTAAACATTTTAATTATGTAATTTTTGATCAGTTTGGTGTGATAACACGCTCGGGAAATACAAATATTCTAACACTCGATTAATAAAATCTGTATGACACACATGCTCGCATTATAATGTCTATTTACGAGTGCTTCGTTCAACATTTCGTTGACACAAAATCTCCTGTCCTACCTATTTCGAAACAGTCAAGCTGAGATCAACAGTTTCTTGTTGCGGAACGTATGGAAACATCTTCAACATTCGAAAATGATCAGAGCAATAGCTATGACGCAGATGGAAAACGGTATGGATCCGAAGTTATGTTATCGCTAACAGGCTAAATTCATTTCACGTGATTTGTAAATATAGCTATTTTGTAAAAGATAAAAGACTGTGTTAACTTCAATTATTTTCAATGCATACATTTTCATTCTGGCAGGTGTAAAAGGAGTTTTCGTGACACCACCCGCAAGATATAGATACCATCAACGTTTTGTCTTGTGTATTTGTTGTTTAACACCAGCCTTGAAATAGTCTGGGCCAGACAAACCAGTGGCTGATAGTAAGAGGCGCGTCCAATCCCTTAAGGGTGGATGACACGCAACATGTCGGTAATCGGTATATTGCAAATTGGTGAGGAACCACCAATGACATTCCAAACTTCTACAAACTTGAATCAAACTTGAGTTCCTAAAAACAGCCCAAGGCTTTCAATTCTGACTATTGGGCCATCAATTCCATCAGACTGGGTAATGATATTTAAATTCAAAGCACCCAGACCTGTTTTCTCATTCGGTTAACGATGATAAAATGAGATCAAAACCTAGTCCGAATTTCAGGGTATATGACCGTGTCGAGATGTGGAATGCCTCTTTAACAATCACAACAATGCAAATACTAATATTTTATGATATTTTATTTTCCGCAAGAAACCACAGACATACGTCATTACACAAACACGGATGTCTTGATGCGCGCGGACCTTTATGCGCACGTGTTCAAGAGCACAGACCAAGTGCCAGTGGGACAATCAAAACTTGACAGACTCCCCTGGTTGCAGATCACACCCTTGGTTTCATCCGCGAGGTCGGGGAATATAAATATGGCAGTTGGAGGACACGGGTACGAACATTCTGAAAACACAAATAGGCACAACGGCTCATATGCTTTATATTAGTCTCTTGGATTATTTGTTAACGTTTTTTTTTCGAAATAAAAATAAAATAATAAAATTAAAATCAAAATAAAAGGTATTGATCTGAGGATACAGCTTTGATACACTCTACATTTCTTCTTTTGTCATTGATTTCGTGAAGATCATGTCAACACATTGAAGGCAGTATTAAGATTCGATTGGTTGTTCTTCATACGTCATAGAACTTCATACTACGCATGCCAACTGTACAGGCAATGAGTTCATTCTACTGAGTACTGCTTCAAACGACTATACATGATACCGAATACTTACAAATTTCCGTAGACGTCTTTTTCTCACGGGTTCAGTTTAGTTGTTGTCATACTTTCCAAGCATATAGTTTTATTGCAGACATATTCTCTATATGAACACATCAACGCATCGACATGTGCAAACACTGAAAGGCTCAGGGATCTGATACTTAATAATGACAAAATGATGGATCAGATAGGAAATGAATCATTTGAAGTTTTCCAATGCCGTGACGAGTATGAAAGTATGTTCATGTGAGTCTTGTTTTGTTGAAGTTGGTTTGTTTGCTCTTAAACGCCGCACTCAGCAATATTCCAGCTACATGACGGCGGTCTGTAAACAATCGAGTTTGACAATCCAGTGATTGACATAATGAGCATTGATGTACACAACTGGGATACGAGGACATGCAAGTCACCCAGCCTGACCACCCTATTCTATAAGTCGCCTCTAAAGACAAGCATGGGTTGCTAAAGACCAATTCTAACCCGGATCTTCCCGGTTCCGGGTTTGAAGGGTTTCGTTGAAGTAAAGCATCTTTAAGTACATGTTGGAACCCTTTATGTTATTTCTATTCATTCCGTCATTTGGTCGTTATAAACAATTCATTAATATGATATTGTTTAAAACGACCACACCATACCTCTTAAAACACACAGCATCTTAATGTATATGCATTCTTCATTTATGTCAGCGCATTCTGAGAAAAGTGGAAAGTAAGTTCGTGAATGTTGTTTTACGTCAATCAGTCTTCTGTGCAGGCAATATTGCAGAGACCTCTTTATATGTGTCTCAACCAGACAGATCAGTGCCTTGTAGCATTATGCCGTCACGGTACAATGGCATACATTGTAATCACACAGTGTTTTTTTTTGGCTAAAAAGACGTTAAAGGTGGCCTAGGACAGATATCGACGCGGCAGGAGACGAACATACATAAGTAAACACGTTAATATGTATGTACTTTGTGAGGTGAGGTGAGATGAAATGGGGGTCAACTTCACGTCCAAGAATATTGCACTTATACAGGGACGTGCATGCGTGGCAGCTTGTACTGGTCCGGACTGATGCCGATTTATAGGGCTAGCCCACAGAGATATCATGCTGCAGGTAAACATGAATACCCAACTCAGACACAGTATACTGACTCCGAGCCGACCAGTTCTTCTTTTAGCCCCTTAATGCCGAGCGCCAGGCAGGGTAACATCAAGTACCAACGTTAAACGTCTTTTGGTATGACGCGGACGGGGCGGACGATCTACAACTAGACCACGGAGCCGGTATATGTACTTTGTAGCCGCACAAGACACCCACTCAGAGAAGTCCACAAAGACGATCAAGAACCGAAACTTTTAATGACCAACAGTTACAATCCGCCGACCAAGGGCCGCGTTACACACAGTTATTCTGAGTGTAGCTATAGGTCGCCCCAACAGGGCACGACCTGACTATGCGCATTCCTTGGAAGCAGCTGACGAACTTGCTGGGGTCGACGAGGTCGGGGTAGATGATGCCGACGCCGGGGGGACAGGGGTAGTCACATTCTGAAAACACACGACCAGGGACCGTCATAGTGGGCATCACGTGGGTCACGTGACCGGAAACAAGATGGCCGGGAGACGTGATGTGTCAGTGGGAAGTGTTGGATAATGAATAGAAAGTCAATGAGGAAGTATTGTTTGACGTCGCATTAGCAAGGGTGAAACGTAGAAGCGATTAAAACAATGTAACATTGTCATGCATTGTTGGTGTTAGAATGGCAGGAAAGGAATATTGTTAGGCTATGCCGTCATGCTAGTCAACTGACTACAAGCATATGAAAGCCCTGTTGAAAATTCGCTCATCACTTCATCCAAAGGCAGGTGTTCAATGCTTGTTCGTAACACAGTGCATTTTCAGTTTTTCGGTGCAAGGTCTTACAGTTTCCAATCCACTGCTGCCAAGTCATGCTTGAAGATTCAGACCGCCGGTTCGATCATTCTCGTTTGTCTTCAGATGCTAGTGTTAGAATGGCAGCAGTGGCCAGTAAGCTCATTCTGAGTACTGATCAAAGAATGAGTGTGTGAATATTGCTTTAAGCTGCTGCTCTGGAGGAAACTATAAATTGGCTTCACACATTGTCCCTTTGGAAGAATGTAAAGCGTGAGAAGCGAGCCCTTTAACCAACATGTTACGCTACAGGTTAATGAATGATAAGCTGATCATGGCGTTCTAGAATGACCTTTACCCCGCACGTATTAGGGACCGGTCATTTAGGGTTGGGGAAGAGATGATTTGGGAAGGGTCATTAGAAAAGATGACAGTGTTCAGTTGAGGGTAATGAAAAATAAAAATAAACGTTTAGGAGGCGGGTTCCAAAAATGGTCAGTCACATCTTGAATTTATGTGTTTGTGGAACCTTGATAATAATCACTTCTTTAAAGGGAGGATACAGTGGGTCTGCGTGCAAATAGACCAAGTTTTGTAGAGGTTTTGTTTGTTTGTTGTTTAACGCCGCACTCAGCAATATTCCAGCTATATGACGGCGCTCTGTAAAGTATGGGTTGCTGAAGACCTATCGGAATCTTCACGGGTAATATCTACATGTGCGCAGCGAAGTGATGAAAGAGGATGGGCTGAGTCTTGTTAAACCATGAAGGAACATCACGTCCCGTGGTGAACCATTTGAATAAGTACACAGAGTGTTCTTAGGGTTATTATAAGTCTAGTTCAGAGGGTCGTCAATGTCTGACAAAGAAGGTCAGCACTGCGACTGTAGTGACAACAGAACAAAACCATGCAGTTAGGATGAGAGGCTAAGCTAATGTACGTATGGGGATGTTCCTAAATGTTAGTGTTCTAGAAAGTCTACAAAACGATTTTCTAACAAGACAAATGAACAGTGGCCGCATTAATGGTTGTCTGATTATTTGATGCGTCATGAACAATCAACGGTCCCTTTAACAACCAATACAGCATCCCCAATCCTACTCCCACTTAACCCTCAGCCATGGATTCAGTTGCATGCGATATAACGTCTTATTTGCTGAGTGTCATCTCGTTATTCAGGCTGTCAGGGTATGCAACCACGGGCAATTATTGATCTGCTTGAACTAAATATACTTACTGCTGTTTGGATTTCTTTCTGATGTTATTTGTAAAGCAGTATCTATATTTGATAATGATACTTCATTTCTTGACAATGTTGGAACAGACAATACATACTCCAATAAAGAATTGTTACAGTTTTGACAGCCATATATCGACCTAAAACGTCCATGCATCCTCATTATATGCTAAGAAAGTATTGATCTATCGATTTATGTATACATGTATACCAAGCAACTATAGTATAGGTAATGAAAGAGTCCTCCAAAGATCATGCAAGGTTGTCACATTTATCAACATTTGCCATCTACAAGCCGTCAATACTCGCATGGTTTGGGTAATGTTGCCTATGTGGGCGCTAATGAGATACACATAGCATGAAACTACAGGATGGTTGTGTTAGAAAAGGCTCTACAAGTTTGACATGAAAAGATTCACATTTCAGCAAGTTATTGACAGCATGAAAACCTAAATTTATCTTAAAGTACGTAAAGCATTATTTACGGATTTTAAAGGGAAATATTTGTAACATAAATAATCTTACTCTGTATAGCATTACGTAATGGAGTAATGTAAGCATGTTGACATGGACAGGTAAGATAAAAATAAACCAATGAAACACGATGTTACTAAACCGAGGAGCAAAAGACACTGTATATGTCAGTTGATGTTATCATATGTTTGATGTTATCATATGCTTCAGTTAGCGATATTTTATCCAGAAAATGAACTGTATTGCCGCTTCTGTACTGGAATACTTCAACTTGATTTAAAACCTTTAAAAAAATATTTTTTAAAAATCGCATAATACACTCCTGCTGATGGGTATTGTAGACATTATATCTTTAAAAATAATAAATTTGCCACAAATTTACAATATTTCGAACATGGTAGGTGTCATGTTGAAAATTTATTTGTCACCCCAGTCGTCATTAAACCAATATATTTCTACACAAAATAACCCATCCACAGATTACTTTTTGTTTACAAAACCGTTGCAAAAATGAGTGACGGTTAAATAAACATAATCATTTTTAACAACAGTTTTTTCACTTTAAAATTACATACAAAAGACTCTGTATACTTTCTTTTACTCCTCAGTTTTATTTGCTGATGTGACCCAGCGATAAAGGAATTAGAAACACACTGTTGATTGTTAAACGAAGAACCTAAACACTTCCATTAAATACAGATTTTGTATTACCTACATGACACTGGTCTGCATTATATCACACATGTAACACCTATATCACACATGTAACACCTATATCACACAGGCAACATCAATATCACACAAATCACACCAATATCACACAGGTCGCAGCTTTATCACACATGTCACATCTATATCACACAGGTCACACCTCAATCACACAGGCCACACCTATATCACACAAGTCACACCAATATCACACAGGTCACACCTTTATCACACAGGTCACACCTTTATCACACCGGTCACACCTCAATCACACAGGTCACACCTTTATCACACAGGCCACACCTATATCACACAAGTCACACCAATATCACACAGGTCACACCTTTATTACACAGGTCACACCTTTATCACACAGGTCACACCACACATTGATAGACAAATATCACACATGTGACAACTATATCACACTGGTCACACCTATATTACACAGGTCACACCTCAATCACACGGGCGACACCTATATCACACAAGTCACACCAATATCACACTGGTCACACCTTTATCACACATGTCACATCTATATCACACAGGTCACACCACACATTGATAGACTAATATCATACATGTGACACCTATATCACACTGGTCACACCTATATCACACTGGTCACACCCATATAACACTGGTAACACCTATTTCACACTGGTAATGCCTATATCACACTGGTCACAACTATATCACACTGGTAACACCTATATCACACTGGTCACACCCATATCACACTGGTAACACCTATATCACACTGGTCACACCTATATCACACTGGTAATGCCTATATCACACTGGTCACACCTATATCACACAGGCCACTCCTATATCACACAGGTCACAACTATATCACACTGGTAACACCTATATCACACTGGTCACACCTATATCACACTGGTAACGCCTGTATCACACTGGTCATACCTATATCACACTGGTCACACCTATATCACACTGGTCACACCTATATCACTCTGGTAACGCCTGTATCACACTGGTTACAACTATATCACACTGGTCACACCTATATCACTCTGGTAACGCCTGTATCACACTGGTCACAACTATATCACACTGGTAACACCTATATGACACTGGTCACAACTATATCACACTGGTAATGCCTATATCACACTGATCACACCTATATCACACAGGCCACTCCTATATCACACAGGTCAAAACTATATCACACTGGTAACACCTATATCACACTGGTCACACCTATATCACACTGGTAACACCTATATCACACTGGTCACACCTATATCACACTGGTAATGCCTATATCACACTGGTCACACCTATATCACACAGGCCACTCCTATATCACACAGGTCACAACTATATCACACTGGTAACACCTATATCACACTGGTCACACCTATATCACACTGGTAACACCTATATCACACTGGTCACAACTATATCACACTGGTAACACCTATATCACACTGGTCACAACTATATCACACTGGTAACACCTATATCACACTGGTCACACCTATATCACACTGGTAACACCTATATCACACTGGTCACACCTATATCACACTGGTAACGCCTGTATCACACTGGTCATACCTATATCACACTGGTCACACCTATATCAGACAGGTCACAACTATATCCCAGAGGTCACACCCTATCAAACATGTCTTACCGGTTTGACAAAAGGTGCCCACTCTGTACACGGGACATTCACATGTGAATATTGTATCCGAGACGTCGACACACGTGCCGTTGTTACAGGGCTGACTGGCACACGCTGAAACACGTGCAAAAGTTCGTATACAACCAGTTACAATGGTCTGTGAACACAAGACAAGTGGCCACTCCGCTGAACATAACTCATGTAATTTACATTTCGTCATTGGCGATGTCCAATGATGATGTGAAGATATCAAGGCTGCCTGGGAAATCCCATTAGGAAATATGGCAGTGGTCAGCTCGTATGCATGTCAGTATCATGCACGGTACTTTAGATACCAGAGTTTAGGAACTGCACTGTCCTCCGCTCTGTGGAGAATATGGTTCGGCAAATGCCGCTAGGGGAACCGATCAAGTCCATGACTCTGTGGCTCCGACAGCGGGGGCTACATTTACACAGACATTGGAGTGGTGAATATGCGGTGACGATATGTCTAGAAGGATACGGATAATGAAAGACATTGGTATACACTGGCATCAATACAGTTCTTGAAACACACATACATGAGGATTGATACACACTGACAAGATTGTAGATTAATACACACGGGGGTGCTGGTGTAGAGAACGAAGGTTATTGCATGCAATGAAGACCGTGTTACATGAGGATTGATACACACTGACAAGATTGTAGATTAATACACACGGGGGTGCTGGTGTAGAGAACGAAGGTTATTGCATGCAATGAAGACCGTGTTACATGAGGATTGATACACACTGACAAGATTGTAGATTAATACACACGGGTGTACTGGTGTAGAGAACGAATTCAAGGTTATTGCATGCAATGAAGACCGTGTTACATGAGGATTGATACACACTGACAAGATTGTAGATTAATACACACGGGTGTACTGGTGTAGAGAACGAAGGTTATTGCATGCAATGAAGACCGTGTTACATGAGGATTGATACACACTGACAAGATTGTAGATTAATACACACGGGGGTGCTGGTGTAGAGAACGAAGGTTATTGCATGCAATGAAGACCGTGTTACATGAGGATTGATACACACTGACAAGATTGTAGATTAATACACACGGGTGTACTGGTGTAGAGAACGAATTCAAGGTTATTGCATGCAATGAAGACCGTGTTACATGAGGATTGATACACACTGACAAGATTGTAGATTAATACACATGGGGGTACTGGTGTAGAGAACGAAGGTTATTGCATGCAATGAAGACCGTGTTACATGAGGATTGATACACACTGACAAGATTGTAGATTAATACACACGGGTGTACTGGTGTAGAGAACGAAGGTTATTGCATGCAATGAAGACCGTGTTACATGAGGATTGATACACACTGACAAGATTGTAGATTAATACACACGGGTGTACTGGTGTAGAGAACGAAGGTTATTGCATGCAATGAAGACCGTGTTACATGAGGATTGATACACACTGACAAGATTGTAGATAAATACACACGGGTGTACTGGTGTAGAGAACGAAGGTTATTGCTTGCAATGAAGACCGTGTTACATGAGGATTGATACACACTGACAAGATTGTAGATTAATACACACGGGTGTACTGGTGTAGAGAACGAAGGTTATTGCATGCAATGAAGACCGTGTTACATGAGGATTGATACACACTGACAAGATTGTAGATTAATACACACAGGTGTACTGGTGTAGAGAACGAAGGTTATTGCATGCAATGAAGACCGTGTTTCATGAGGATTGATACACACTGACAAGATTGTAGATTAATACACACAGGGCCATTGGAGTAGAATGAAGATTATTGCATGCAATGAAGACAATGTCACATGGGGGTTTATTAACATAGACAAAATTGTAGGTTATCACACACGGGGATATTGGTTAAACACTATGAAGGATTTGTCTCAGGAGGATTTGTACACTGAGCGAGAGTACAGGTTACTACAAACTTGAGTAATGGTGATACATATTCTGAGAAGGAAATGTTCAACAAAGTTGTTCATACTGACAAAAACATAGGATGCTACCCGCTGAAAGGATGCTACGGAAAATGAAGACGTCATGCAAGAGGGTTGTGTTTGCTACACAGGTGGAAAGGTTCCACATTGAAATCAACTAGGTCACACTAACGACAGGGGCTGGTATTGCAGGCAAATCCGATGGTGTCCGTGTTGTCGCCCTGGCAGCTCAAGCCCCCGTTTGAAGGAGGGGGGTTGGTGCACGTTCTGAGTCTGGAGACCTGCTGCTGTCCACCCCCGCAAATCTTGCTGCACGTGGAAGGCGTGCCCACCACTGACCACTCGCTCCAGCCACCGTTCACTGTCAGAGGGGATATAAAACATTAACGTTACAGAATACATATTCTCGGTTATCTGCTGAAACACATTCAATTGGGCTTAAAAGGCAAACTATCTGTGAACATCTTCTGAATGGGTTGCTGAAAATCAGTGAGGACGTCGACACAAGATCTTCGCGAAATGCCACGTCTTGCTCCCGTAGCACCCGCCACTCACACAATTTGCATAAAAATTATCCATTTGTTTGTTTTATGCCTGACGCCGCACCCACAATACTCCTGCCATAAACTACGGCGTATGGCAAATGTACCCCCAATCGCGAAAATGTCGCAACCCGGTTGTTTCCAAAGGTAGAGTTTTATCGAACATGTGTTGCCTAACGTCGCACAGCAGTACTGCTGTCATGTCAATGCGGCCTGTACACAAACCAGACAATCAAGTGATCGATAAACCAGAACTCCAGTGGCACGACAGAATATTTACTGATTTTCTTGAAACTAAAATCGAAGTGTTAATTTGAATTATGTTCGTTGTGTAGTGAAGAGATTTTGCTGCCATGTCGAGGATCTATCTGTTACTTGGGAAATATAGGACACATGTGATGTATGCAATGTCTTTGATTGACCCACATCAAGGGTCCGTCAGGGACCAGGTAAATATAGTACATGTTTTATGCATGCAATGTTACTTGTGCCTTTGGGAGATCCATATCAAGGCTTTTTACGATCATGGCTAAATATAGTACAACGCTGCTTGTGTTTTTGAGGGATCCATATGAAAAATCTGTCTGGCACTGGGTACATATAGAACATGTTTTATGCATGTAATGCTTAATGCGCCTTTGGGAGATCCACATCAAGGCTTTTTCCTGTACTGGGTAAATAAAATACAATGCTGCTTGTGTCTTTGAGAGATCCATATCAAAGGTCTATCTGGTACAGGGTCAAAGTAATGACAAAGTAATGACAAATGTGAGCCCACTTGCCTAAATGACTTCGTCAACCAAAACACCCAGCGATTTCCAAATGTGGGCCCACCTGTTTCGATCACTATAAGACGGGAACAATGTGGGCCCACATTTTAGAAAATGGTTATAAGTAAGCCAAGCTTATGAAGCTTAGCGTTTTATGACGGAAGAACGTCTACCCACTAGGCGATATACAAATGTGGGCCCATTTGTTTCGATCACCATATATGACGGGAACAATGTGAGCCCACATTTGGGAAAATGATTATCAATACTAGTATTTAAGTAGAATTTCGCGATTATTAAATGTGGTCCCTCCTGTTGCAATCAATATGACGGAAGGACGTCTGCCCACATTTAGGAATTGATTATCAGAACTAACGAAACAACCTAACGAAGCTAGGCGAAATACAAATGTGGGCCCACTTGTTTTGATCACCATAGATGACGGGGAAAATGTGGGCCCACATTTTAGAAAATGGTTATCAGCACTAAACCAATCTTAGAAGGTGTACGGATGGGAACATGAATATATAATGCATTCAAACATTTAATTAAGAAAACGTTTTACCTTGGGGATAAGCTGGGCATTTAATAGCTGGACCAACAACGTACAGCGTGGGTGACGCCATTTCTCGCAAATACGAAAACAACGGAGTTAGCTCCCGTTTAAAATTAGAGTAACCTCCCTTTCCCAATATGAACCACTGATAATGCGGTTTCGCCAAAATATGTGATATATGTTATCCATTTTGATAGGTAAGGAATATTTTCTTAAGTTGATCTATTTCAAAAACCGTAGGATTGTTTGTCCAAATGAAAAAGAAAATTATGTGTTTTATAACATTATAATAGACTTTTATTCGGGGTTAAATAAAGGGACACATTTCTGTTAAGGATAAATTAAAGGGATACTTCATTTCACACACGAACTATTAATTTGCTTTCATAACTGGAAAGACTCATCAATGTAAGCGAGATCAATATGTTAGATTTATTTGCTACATTTTGGGTTGGCTGATCCAAAATTTAAATAATTAAAGACAGGAGGCCTCAGTCACATATCGGGAAATAGGTAAAACAGCTGAAATAATTGCCTGCGATTTGCAGTACGATGAAGTGGCCGATTGATAAACTCACCTGCTGAAAGTGTCTCACAGTTCGGCTGTGCATAGTTAGGCAGACAGGCACATACATAGCTGCTGCCTTGGTTTGTGCAGGCCCCGCCGTTCTTGCACGGACCCGAGTCACAGGGCTCTGGATAGTAGAAAGGAATTACAGAAATAAATGTATTATAGAAACAAGTGTATAACGGAAACAAATGTATAACGGAAACAAATGTATTAATAAAACAAATGTATAACGGAAACAAATGTATTACGGAAACAAATGTATTACGGAACAAATGCATAGCGGAAACAAATGTATTACAGAAACAAATGTATAGCGGATACAAATTTATTACGCGAACAAATGTATAGCGGAAACAAATTATAATGGAAACAAATGTATTAATGAAAAAAATGTATAATGGAAACAAATGTTTAAAAGAAACAAATGTTTAACGGAAACAAATGTATTAGGGAAACAAATGTATTACGGAACAAATGTATAGCGGATACAAATGTATTACAGATACAAATGTATTAATGAAACAAATGCATAACGGAAACAAATGTATTACGGAAACAAATATATTAATGAAAGAAATGTATAACGGAAACAAATGTATTACGGGAACAAATGTATAGGGGAAACAAATGTATAACGGAAACAAATGTATTAATGAAACAAATTTATAACGGAAACAACTGTATAACGGAAACAAATGTATAGCGATAGGTGGTTATTGCATACAATGAAGACAATGTTACATGAGGATTGTTACACTAACAAGATTGTAGGCTGATACACACGGGGGTATTGGTGTAAAGGAAGGTTATTGCATGCAATGAAGACAATGTTACACGAGGGTTTATTAACATAGACAAAATTGTAGGTTATCACACACGGGGATACTGGTTAAAATGAAGGTTACTGAACACTGTCAAGGATATGTCTTACGAGGATTGGTACACTGAGCGAGGTTACAGGCTACTACAAACTGGAGTCATGGCGGTTTAGGAAACTTGATACATATACTGAGAAGGTAATGTTGAACAAAGTTGTTCATACTGACAAAAGCATAGGATGCTACCCGCTGAAAGGACGCTACAGAAAATGAAGACGTCATGCAAGAGGGTTGTGTTTGCTACACAGATGGAAACGAACTAGGTCACACTAACGACAGGGCCTGGTGTTGCAGGCAACTCCGATGGTGTCCGTGTTGTCGCCCTGGCAGGTCAAGCCCCCGTTTGAAGGAGGGGGGTTGGTGCACGTTCTCATTCTGGAGACCTGCTGCTGTCCACCCCCGCAAATCTTGCTGCACGTGGAAGGCGTGCCCACCACTGACCACTCGCTCCAGCCACCGTTCACTGTCACAGAGGGAATATGAAACGTCAACGCCAGAGAATACATATTATCGGTTATCTGCTGAAACACATTTCATTGGGCTTAAAAGGCAAACTATCTGTGAACATCTTCTGAATGGGTTGCTGAAAATCAGTGAGGACGTCGACACCAGGTCTTCGCGAAATGCCATGTCCTGCTCCACCGGTAGAACCCGCCACTCCCACAATTTGCATACAAAGTAAGTGTTTGTTTTATGCCTGACGCCGCACCCACAATACTCCTGCCATAAACTACGGCGTATGGCAAATGTACCCTCAATCGCGAAATTGTTGCACCCCGGTTGTTTCCAAAGGTAGAGTCTTATCGAACATGTGTTGCCTAACGTCGCACAGCAGTACTGCTGTCATGTCAATGCGGCCTGTAAACAAACCAGACAATCAAGTGATCGATAAACCAGAACTCCAGTGGCATATTGACTGATTTTCTTGAAACTAAAATCGAAGTGTTAATTTTGAATTATGTTCGTTGTGTAGAAGTGAAGAGATTTTGCTGCCATGTCAAGGGTCTATCTGGTATTTGGTAAATATAGGACAGGTTTGATGTATGCAATGTCTTTGATTGATCCACATCAATGGTCCGTCAGGGACCAGGTAAATATAGTACATGTTTTATGCATGCAATGTTACTTGTGCCTTTGGGAGATCCAAATCAAGGCTTTTTACGGTACTAGGTAAATATAGTACAACGCTGCTTGTGTTTTTGAGGGATCCATATGAAAAATCTGCCTGGCACTGGGTACATATAGTACATGTTTTAAGCATGCAATGCTGCTTGTGTTTTTAAACGGCTGACAGTGTATTTACCAATCCGCTAAGGATGAAATGTCCATGTTGGTTCAAGACCACATGGGGTAGATCATGAAAAGAAACATGCCCATAAAGTCAAATTAACCTTCAATCAATATAAGCTTTACTTATAAATATGTGATATAAATGATCCATTTTGATAGGTTAGGAATATTTTCTTAAGTTGCAGATCTATTTAAGAACCCGTAGGGTTGTTTGTATAAATGAACAAGAAACTAACGTGTCTTTTTACATTATAATAGACTTGTCTTCCAGGTTAAATAAAGGAACAGATTTGTGTTAATGATAAATCAAAGGGATACTTCATTTCACACATTAACTATTAATTGGTTTTCATAACTGGAAAGACTCACCAACGTAGGCGAGATCAATATGTGAGATTTATTTGCTACATATTGGTTTGGCTGATCCAAAAATCAAATAGTTAAAGAGGCCTTAGTCACATAACGTTAAATAGGTAAAATACCTGAAATAATTGCCTGCGATTTGCAGTAGGATGAAGAGGCCGATTGATGAACTCACCTGCTGAAAGTGTCTCACAGTTCGGCTGTGCATAGTTAGGCAGACAGGAACACACATAGCTGCTGCCTTGGTTTGTGCAGGCCCCGCCGTTCTTGCATGGACCTGAGTCACAGGGCTCTGGGGGTTAGAAATGTATAACGGAAACAAATGTATAACGGAAACAAATGTATAGCGGAAACAAATGTAAAACGGAAACAAGTGTATAACGGAAACAAATGTATTACGGAAACAAATGTATAACGGAAACAAGTGTATTACGAAAACAAATGTATAACGGAAACAAATGTATAGCGGCAACAAATGTTTGACGAAAACAAGTGTATAACGTAAACAAATGTATAGCGGCAACAAATGTATAGCGGAAACAAGTGTATTACGAAAACAAATGTATAACAGAAACAAATGTATAGCTGAAACAAATGTATTATAGAAACAAGTGTATAACGGAAACAAATGTATAACGGAAACAAATGTATTAATAAAACAAATGTATAACGGAAACAAATGTATTACGGAAACAAATGTATTACGGAACAAATGCATAGCGGAAACAAATGTATTACAGAAACAAATGTATAGCGGATACAAATTTATTACGCGAACAAATGTATAGCGGAAACAAATTATAATGGAAACAAATGTATTAATGAAAAAAATGTATAATGGAAACAAATGTTTAAAAGAAACAAATGTTTAACGGAAACAAATGTATTAGGGAAACAAATGTATTACGGAACAAATGTATAGCGGATACAAATGTATTACAGATACAAATGTATTAATGAAACAAATGCATAACGGAAACAAATGTATTACGGAAACAAATATATTAATGAAAGAAATGTATAACGGAAACAAATGTATTACGGGAACAAATGTATAGGGGAAACAAATGTATAACGGAAACAAATGTATTAATGAAACAAATTTATAACGGAAACAACTGTATAACGGAAACAAATGTATAGCGATAGGTGGTTATTGCATACAATGAAGACAATGTTACATGAGGATTGTTACACTAACAAGATTGTAGGCTGATACACACGGGGGTATTGGTGTAAAGGAAGGTTATTGCATGCAATGAAGACAATGTTACACGAGGGTTTATTAACATAGACAAAATTGTAGGTTATCACACACGGGGATACTGGTTAAAATGAAGGTTACTGAACACTGTCAAGGATATGTCTTACGAGGATTGGTACACTGAGCGAGGTTACAGGCTACTACAAACTGGAGTCATGGCGGTTTAGGAAACTTGATACATATACTGAGAAGGTAATGTTGAACAAAGTTGTTCATACTGACAAAAGCATAGGATGCTACCCGCTGAAAGGACGCTACAGAAAATGAAGACGTCATGCAAGAGGGTTGTGTTTGCTACACAGATGGAAACGAACTAGGTCACACTAACGACAGGGCCTGGTGTTGCAGGCAACTCCGATGGTGTCCGTGTTGTCGCCCTGGCAGGTCAAGCCCCCGTTTGAAGGAGGGGGGTTGGTGCACGTTCTGATTCTGGAGACCTGCTGCTGTCCACCCCCGCAAATCTTGCTGCACGTGGAAGGCGTGCCCACCACTGACCACTCGCTCCAGCCACCGTTCACTGTCACAGAGGGAATATGAAACGTCAACGCCAGAGAATACATATTATCGGTTATCTGCTGAAACACATTTCATTGGGCTTAAAAGGCAAACTATCTGTGAACATCTTCTGAATGGGTTGCTGAAAATCAGTGAGGACGTCGACACCAGGTCTTCGCGAAATGCCATGTCCTGCTCCACCGGTAGAACCCGCCACTCCCACAATTTGCATACAAAGTAAGTGTTTGTTTTATGCCTGACGCCGCACCCACAATACTCCTGCCATAAACTACGGCGTATGGCAAATGTACCCTCAATCGCGAAATTGTTGCACCCCGGTTGTTTCCAAAGGTAGAGTCTTATCGAACATGTGTTGCCTAACGTCGCACAGCAGTACTGCTGTCATGTCAATGCGGCCTGTAAACAAACCAGACAATCAAGTGATCGATAAACCAGAACTCCAGTGGCATATTGACTGATTTTCTTGAAACTAAAATCGAAGTGTTAATTTTGAATTATGTTCGTTGTGTAGAAGTGAAGAGATTTTGCTGCCATGTCAAGGGTCTATCTGGTATTTGGTAAATATAGGACAGGTTTGATGTATGCAATGTCTTTGATTGATCCACATCAATGGTCCGTCAGGGACCAGGTAAATATAGTACATGTTTTATGCATGCAATGTTACTTGTGCCTTTGGGAGATCCAAATCAAGGCTTTTTACGGTACTAGGTAAATATAGTACAACGCTGCTTGTGTTTTTGAGGGATCCATATGAAAAATCTGCCTGGCACTGGGTACATATAGTACATGTTTTAAGCATGCAATGCTGCTTGTGTTTTTAAACGGCTGACAGTGTATTTACCAATCCGCTAAGGATGAAATGTCCATGTTGGTTCAAGACCACATGGGGTAGATCATGAAAAGAAACATGCCCATAAAGTCAAATTAACCTTCAATCAATATAAGCTTTACTTATAAATATGTGATATAAATGATCCATTTTGATAGGTTAGGAATATTTTCTTAAGTTGCAGATCTATTTAAGAACCCGTAGGGTTGTTTGTATAAATGAACAAGAAACTAACGTGTCTTTTTACATTATAATAGACTTGTCTTCCAGGTTAAATAAAGGAACAGATTTGTGTTAATGATAAATCAAAGGGATACTTCATTTCACACATTAACTATTAATTGGTTTTCATAACTGGAAAGACTCACCAACGTAGGCGAGATCAATATGTGAGATTTATTTGCTACATATTGGTTTGGCTGATCCAAAAATCAAATAGTTAAAGAGGCCTTAGTCACATAACGTTAAATAGGTAAAATACCTGAAATAATTGCCTGCGATTTGCAGTAGGATGAAGAGGCCGATTGATGAACTCACCTGCTGAAAGTGTCTCACAGTTCGGCTGTGCATAGTTAGGCAGACAGGAACACACATAGCTGCTGCCTTGGTTTGTGCAGGCCCCGCCGTTCTTGCATGGACCTGAGTCACAGGGCTCTGGGGGTTAGAAATGTATAACGGAAACAAATGTATAACGGAAACAAATGTATAGCGGAAACAAATGTAAAACGGAAACAAGTGTATAACGGAAACAAATGTATTACGGAAACAAATGTATAACGGAAACAAGTGTATTACGAAAACAAATGTATAACGGAAACAAATGTATAGCGGCAACAAATGTTTGACGAAAACAAGTGTATAACGTAAACAAATGTATAGCGGCAACAAATGTATAGCGGAAACAAGTGTATTACGAAAACAAATGTATAACAGAAACAAATGTATAGCTGAAACAAATGTATTACGGAAACAAGTGTATTACGAAAACAAATGTATAACGAAAACAAATGTATAACGGAAACAAATGTATAGCGGCAACAAATGTTTGACGAAAACAAGTGTATAACGTAAACAAATGTATTACGAAAACAAATGTATAACGGAAACAAATGTATTACGGAAACAAATGTATTACAGTAACAAATGTATAACGGAAACAAATGTATTACAGTAACAAATGTATAACGGAAAAAAATGTATTACGGTAGCAAATCACTAAATCAATTTAAAAAAACTGTGAGCCTGAAAGAATCAAAAGTACTAAACTAAAACTAAAACTAAAAAGTATATATGAACAGCACCTAGACATTGTTCCCACATCAGACAGGGGCTTGTAACGCTTTATTTAGCAGTGTCGGTATTCTTCCATTAAGTACTGTCTGTGGTTGTGACCATATATCTTGTAGATGCTAAGTTATGCTTCAAAATCCCTTGTGGCACATATGACTTTTACCCCTAAATAGTAATTTATGGAAACTTACGTGGAGGAATTTCGCACGTTTCTCCACCGTATCCGGCGGGGCACTGACAGCTGAAGCTGCCGCCAAAGTTGCTACAGACGCCGTTGTTCAAACATGGGTTGGAATCGCAAGGCAGATCGGTGGTGGTTGCTGAAAAATGTCAGATACGCGAACAATGAAAGGAGGGTAGGAGTAGCATGCAGACTCGGGAACAACGTCTTGTTGGTGGTACACGCCCTGACATCACCAGTGGACAGTGTAGGAACTATAGTGGTTGTGTTTTTCATAAAACCGCTCAACATATGTTTGATAAAACACTACGTTTCAAAAGAACAGAGCGACAATTTCGAGATTGAGTGTACTTTTGCCATACGCAGTCTTATATGGCAGGGGAATTGCTGGCTGTAGGTAACATACATTCTATAAGTCACTACCTTTGAAAACAAGCGGAGTGTGATAATGTCACGATTGAGGGTCGGTTGGCCTGGCAGGAGAATTGTTGAATGTGGCGTTGGGCAACAAACACAGTTTAACACTTACTTTATCATGCAAATTGTGTGAGTGACAGGTACGACCGGTAGAGTGAATGAGTGAGTGAGTATGGTTTTACGCCGCTTTTTGCAATATTCCAGCAATATCACGGCGGGGGACACCAGAAATGGGCTTCACACATTGTACCCATGTCGAAAATCGAACCCGGGTCTTCGGCGTGACGAGCGAACGCTTTAACCACTAGTCTGTGTCCCCCGCCGTGATATTGCTGGAATGTTGCTAAAAGCGGCGTAAACCCAAACTCACTCACTCAATCATTTGAACTTTGAAGGGTATTGTCCATGAGACGTCTTTGTGTATATGAAGGGTATTCACTAAACAACTAGGTGCCATAGAATCTGGGATCAATGTTTTCATCAATGTGTCAGGAATAACGATGTTCTTACTCAATCGTCTATACAGAATATTAATACAACGGCTACGTTGGTCACAAAGACAAGGCCTGTGAAGCCCCGGGGTAGAATAGGTCGTCAGCAACCCATGCCTGTCGTAAGAGGCGACTAACGGGATCGGGTGGTCAGGCTTGCTGACTTGGTTGAACGCATGTGATCGTATTCCAGTTGCGTGGATGGATGCTCATGATGTCAATCACTTGATTGTCTGGTACAGACTCGATTATTTATAGACCGCCGTCATATAGCTGGAATATTGCTGAGTGCGGCGTTTAACAAACAAACAAACAAAAGAAGACAACACAAAGACAATGTACTGCACCTGTTGGGCAGTCGACGCCGTCGGAGCAGTCTTTGATGGCGTCGCTGAACCTGTAGCCAGCCGGGCATTTGTACTGGACCCATTCTTGCTGGACGCATCGGTAGAATTCATCGCATTCACGGCTGTTGCCAGAGAGACGAGTGTCGTTTGTGCAGGAAGAGAGTTTACCTGTTGATGGTGGTGGAAGAGAGAACGAGTCAGTTTACAACCACATCCTAGTCGGCTTTAACTATGAACTGTGTCCGCCAACATAACTCGGCGTTTTGAATTAAACGTCATTGGACGGCCAAATGACACGAGCCTAGATACCTTGAACTGTATCGTTCTGACACTCAGGTACTTAGGTACTACCAGTACTATGCACTCGAACCTCGTTATCTCGAACTCAGTTATCTCGAATGTTTCCTTATCTCGGACCAATTCTCCGGTCCCGACCGCTTCACCGTATAAATACATATACATTTGCCCGCTTACCCCGAATTCGAGATGAAAGTACATAGGGTTATCTCGAACCTTGGACTCGGTGCCAGTTGTGACTTCACTATGGTATTGGCCTCCTTATCTCAAAGTTGGCACTTGTATTTACAGCTTTGAGAAGCACAATTATAGCTATTACCTGTCAACTGTAATGGTTTTGTATAGACAAATACAACGTCGTTAGTACACATGAGTAAAAACATGGCGGCACTTTCTGGTTACTTAAAAAGCGCTAATCAAAGTCGGAATAAAGGATTCAAAGCCGCGTGAGGCTACACATTCAGATGAGCTGCAGCCGTGTGACGCAATCTGTACCTTTGTTTCTGCGCAGTTTCTTCAATGCGTACGAGCGCCGCAACCAGCATTACGATATATACTAATGTGCGCATTTGGAAATTAATATAGTACTGTAATGGTGAAGCTTCCGTGTAAGAGTTCCGAAATTCTGTTTCTGAATTTAGCCGAATATGAAACAAGAGAACATGGCGAACACCTACCGCATTGAACGTTGTATACGAAGTCGCATGACCCGGTCGCTTCATTGAAGGATGGAGTCACTGTGGGGCAGGTAAACTCCACCAAGAAGTTGTTGACGCAGGCGTAGAATTTGCTGCAGTCGTTGGGGTTGGCCTGGTAGGGGTCGGAGGTGCTGCAGGCTCCTGGAACGCAGAGTGAGTGAGTGTGTTGGATTTGTCGCAGCCTTTCAGTTCTATTGCGCCGTGTCTTAGAATGTCGGGAATATTTTTTAGGTCTTAACAATTGGCTGAATCCATCAGCAGGTATATCTGTTGCTGATAGACCCTGCTCATAATCGGAGTGAATCAGGGCTTGAAACTACTGATCGGATCCTGACACGGCTACGGGACGTAACTCTACACAGCGACCTTTAAACTTTTGGACCAACCGCGCCTTCCTAAACGAAAGCTATTTTCATTCGTTTGATGCTTGCAACCGAATCTCTGATTTGACGTAAAACTGAAGTGAACTTACTCTTTCTTCTTCTTTTTTTAAAATGAGCACATTGGACTTTCGAGTTTGATTATATGATGCTTGACGAAAATTAGCCTTCATTTATACTACTTAAATTTAAAGGACAAACCTTATAATACATATTATTAAAGGAAGCTGTGGAAATATTTTCTCCATAACTATCTCTAGGTATGTATATGCTTTGATAAGATTTGTATACATGCCATGTTCTTGTTGATGTTGGTACATGCTTTTTACAAAAAAATGAAAACCGCGTATACTATACCTCCTGGGTCGGCTAAAAAATAAGAAAAATTAAACACATTAATATGAATTCATTCACATCAAAATGGGAAATATGAGCATGTACTATTGCATCGTCTGTACATGAAGTTATGCATGCATATAAACGTCCGGACAAATGAAAGTATAGACTTGAAAATTGAAGTTGACCAAAAAATCATGAACGTTATCAAAACGTTAATACGCTGAAAACAGTCGCTGAAATACTGCAAACCTAAGGCCCAAAACACAACTGTGACACCCGTATCAAATACATCACCATCGAATAACCTTTTTGTGTTTTAACCACCATCAAATATGGGTGTATAACGTCCTATATTAGACACGGAAACATTTGGTGTTACATTCGAAGTGCATGGAATTTAGCAAAAATAGTAATCCTTTTTAAAACTATCAGTTACTTTAAATTCCGAATGAATAAATTCGGTTCGAATCGTGCAGGCAGGATGACTCACGTGTGCAGATTGACTTACGTGTACAGATTGACTCACGTGTACAGATTGACTCACGTGTACAGATTGACTTACGTGTACAGATTGACTCACGTGTACCGACTGACTCACGTGTACAGACTGACTCACGTGTATAGATTGACTCACATGTATAGATTGACTCACATGTACAGATTGACTCACGTGTACAGATTGACTCACTGTATAAATTGACTCACGCGTACAGATTGACTCACATGTACAGATTGACTCACGCGTAGAGATTGACTCACGTGTACAGATTGACTTACGTGTACAGATTGACTCACGTGTACAGATTGTCACATGTACAGATTGACTCACGTGTACAGATTGACTCACGTGTACAGAATGTCACATGTACAGATTGACTCACGTGTACAGATTGACTCACATGTAACGGGGGTTTCGCAGGTGTCACCCTCGTGGGTGTCGGGACACGTGCAGGTGAAGGTAGTCCCGGAGTTGGTGCAGGCGCCGCCATTTAGACAGGGGTTAGAGTCACACGGAACTGGAAGAACGAGATGCATGATGGGTAGAGTCACATAGACAGAACTGTCCGTTACAGTAATTGTGGGCACAGTTACGGAATTGTTCAATGGCAACGATAATCAGACTCAAACGTTATTCCGGAATACTGTAGCGGGTTCAGACATACATGATTCACATCAATTTGACCTGTGATAGTTCATACAACATCGATACTCTCGACTTTCTTTCCTAAGCTCAGGGGCGGTCGGGTAGCCTTCTAGTTAAAGCGTTCGCTCGTCACGCCGAAGACCCGGACATGGTTACAATGTACGAAGCCCATTTCTTATGTCCTCCGCCGTGATATTGCTGAAATATTGCTAAAAGCGGCGTAAAACCATACTCACTCACTCACTTTAGCACATATTTAAAATGTTCGTACGACTGCAAGCCTTTGTCAAACTGAAACGAGGGATTTTATACCTTTCCGGTCCAGATCTCCATTTATGACTTGAAACAATGTGCATTGTTCAGACCATCTTCCCGAGGCAAGAGCGTCCACCAGCCTTATTATCAAAGTCTTGTTTCAACCGTTGCCACATCAAGCTCACTTTCCTGGGCTAAAGTGAAGCCCATTTCTGGTGTCCCCCGCCGTGATATTGCTGAATATTGCTAAAAGCGGCGTAAAACCGAACTCACCCACCACCACATCCTGAGCTAAATATGATTGGATTATCAGACATATCGATAGTCCAATTAGAGATCAAAATCAATCAATTCATGACTGGTACACCTTCGTACACCTTGAGAATGATTTACCGCCGTCTTCTCTCATCTTTTTACCTCCCAACGATTGCCTATTTTTTGTGTCAGCGATGAAACCGCGAATGTTTTCGTTATCTGATCGACTAGGTCATCGCCTATGGTAGTCGCCATCTTTGTGAAGCTATACGAGATAAGAACAGCGATCTGATTGGATATCGTGTTTTCATTAAAAGGGGCACAACTCGTGATCTACGCGAGGTGGCGCCAGGGTCGAGGCGAGAAAAGTGGCCTTGACGTGTTAAGGGTAGAAACTAGGCTTTGATGTAAGCTCGTTGACACGCTTGCCTCGGGAAGATGTGTTCAGAGTTACGAGAATGCACCAGCTAGTTCATGCCACGATGTTGCTCGGGCGGGCTACTGGCTCCATACTTACTTGTTGGGCAGGGGTACTGAGATGGCAGAAAGCAGTCTTTCCACTGTGGGTTAAACCGTGAGTTTTCTGGACACCTGTAGTCCACCCACACTCCGCCAACACACCGTCTGAACAATGCACACTGCAGATCGTTGAGCGACTCCCGGTCGTCCTCCATGCAGGTATCTGTAACGACGCCGTCAAGCAAACCAAGAAGCTGTCATCAAGCAACAACAAGCTACCAACAAGCTGAATAGCTGGCAAAAACTTGCTACCATACTTCAACAAGCTGTTTCCAAGCCACCAACAAGCTGATAAGCTGGCAAAAACTTGCTACCATACTTCAACAAGCTGTTTCCAAGCCACCAACAAGCTGATAAGCTGGCAAAAACTTGCTACCATACTTCAACAAGCTGTTTCCAAGCTACCAACAAGCTGAATAGCTGGCAAAAACTTGCTACCATACTTCAACAAGCTGTTTCCAAGCCACCAACAAGCTGATAAGCTGGCAAAAACTTGCTACCTAACTTCAACAAGCTGTTTCCAAGCTACCAACAAGCTGAATAGCTGGCAAAAACTTGCTACCATACTTCAACAAGCTGTTTCCAAGCCACCAACAAGCTGATAAGCTGGCAAAAACTTGCTATCATACTTCAACAAGCTGTTTCCAAGCCACCAACAAGCTGATAAGCTGGCAAAAACTTGCTACCATACTTCAACAAGCTGTTTCCAAGCTACCAACAAGCTGATAAGCTGGCAAAAACTTGCATTCATACTTCAACATATTTTTACCAAGATATCAAAAAGCTTTTCACATCAACCAAAAAATGTTAAACAATTGTTTAAGAATTTGTCGACAAGGTATCGACAAGCTGACAACAAAGCACCGTAAGCGTTTGATGGGGGACAATTCCAGACGTGAATATTTTTATTTACCCAATAAATATTGAAGGCAAGGCACTCTGGTACGTGGTTTAAAGACTTGCGAATTTACTTTCAAAGTAATAGATAATTAGTGTGAAAATTACAATGACTGTTCAGTTATACTTATTTATTTGAGGGTGTTTCCTGCCTGCAATACATGTTCCTCCCGGGAACCTTCGCATGATGTACACGTCACTGCCGCAACAACATTCAGCAGGTTATTCAGATGAAAATTCGAAAAAGTTGTTTTCAAGCCACCAACAGGCTGATAAGCTGGCGAAACCTTGCTATCATACTTCCACAAATTGTTACCGAGATACAAAAAAAACAACTTTTAACATCAACCAAAAATTGTTTGATAATTGTTCATGATTTTGTCCACAAGGTATCGACAAGCTGACAACAAGGCACAATTGAACCTCGATAATCTGGACACCGTCACATGGAACGCCACACGAAGCAATGTTAGCTCATCATCTCTCAGTGAACGTTGTCAATTCTTTTATATATTTTGGACAAACCACACAATGTAACTGTTCATCCGGCAGCCCCGCTTCCCGGATGGCTATTGATAAGAACGCCTATAGATAAGTACGGGAACATTTCTACGTGCATGTGATTCATTCATCTGAAAATGTGCTAATGCGGACATTTTAACAGATGTTTCAATGTATGTTCATATATGTACTTATAGACCACTCGCACCTCCTCAGAACCAAGGCTATTTCGTTCATCTTGAGGCTCGCAACCAAGTGAACCCCCACCCCTATCGTTCAAAGGGCGACCAACGAAAAACACTTTCTCCCATGTAACTTAAAACTCAAGGACGTTTAACCACACAGTGTAACGTGACCAATCGGATTACCAACGTGCATCTGTGCACTCGGGGTAGAAATAGTGACATTGTAATTAATACTTATGAATAGTAGGTCAATGGTTTCGTTTTGTAGCTGGGAACAGAAAAGCTCATTTGTATTGGGAACAAAACAGAGCCAAAAAAACAACAACAAAAACCCAGAAAATAAAACAAATAAACTTCATAAGCTGCTGATTGCTTGTAGAAAATCGGCACATAATGTAGCTTAGTGGAATATATGGGAGTAATGTACCGGTCGTTGTAGGAGTCTCGCAGTTGTTGCCCATGTAGTTTGGCAGACAGGTGCAGACGTAGGTGTTGCCGGACGTCGCGCACGATCCTCCGTTCTTACACGGAGCCGTGCTGCAAGCTGAAATATCGATCACTTGTGTTCAATATCGATCAATCTATAATCTTTCCATCCTTCATTCAAACCCCCAAAATATTTTCCTACCAAAACAAAAGTACATCTCATAAAAGAATTCTGTTTGTTTTTTTCCACACTGACGTAATTCTGCTACCAAATAGATTTTTAGGGCGCTATTGGTGAGGTATAGCAACAAGAATCCATGAATTAAAATATATTTTTAAAATCAATTACAAAATCTTTCAATTACAAAATCACTTCTAAATGATTCAAGAGATATTCAGTTTGGAAGTGAATACTTTACCGTCTGTCGGGTCGGATGGGGCTGAAACGACACAAATGTATTAGAAAATATATGTATTTATAATACCCAGTGATGCACTGACGTGTTATAAAACAGGCAAGGTTTCCAGAAACACATAACTAAGACTTGATTTGGCTTGTCAACCAAGAGTATCAAAACCTTGGTTGGTTTTACCTTGTCTACACTCAGGTACTGTTCTTGTTTGTTTGTTGTTTAACGCCGCACTCACATTTATGACTGAGGTCTGCATATAATGTAGTCAGGGTAAGAAAATTCAGTGATTGACATCATGAGCATAAATCTACGTCATTGGGACACGATGACATGCATCATCCAAGTCAGCGAGCCTGACTACCCGATCCCGTTAGCTTACGAGAAGCACAGTCGCCTCTTACGAGAAGCATAGTCGCCTCTTATGACAAGCATAGTCGCCTCTTACGACAAGCACAGCCGCCTCTTATGACTTGCCTCTTGCGATAAACATAGTCGCCTCTTACGACAAACATAGTCGCCTCTTATGACAAACATAGTCGCCTCTTACGACAAGCATGGGTTGCTCAAGACCAATTCCAACCCGGATCTCCATTGGTTCATGTGTGTCTGTGTTTGTCTACGATTCGGCATATCAACGCGGTTTGTCTACATATCAGGTTTGTCAGCACCATACCCGTGTTCCTAGTTTTCACCGAAATGGTAAATGTCTACATATCGGGCCGACAACGCGACGTTAGCGCTACGGTTACCATAGATCTGCTAACGACGGTCGTAGCACTACGAATGTATTGTGAACGGTCTACCAGGACTTTCAGTGCACCCGATTTCAAACCGATTAACAGCACCCCCATCACCCACCCCCACCACAAACCCCCCACCCCAACCCCCCACCCCCACCCCCTAACCCCCCCAACCCCCCCCCTACCCCCAACACCTACCCCCCCCCCCCCCCCCCCCACACACACACACACACACCCCACCCCCCCACCCCCAACCCCCAACCCCCAACCCCCAAAGAGCAACACTCACATGGGCACTCCACGTTGTATGGCCAATCACAGACCTGGGCTATGGGGTTGAAAACCGTTCCCTCCCCGCATGTCAGCTCCACCCATACATTTATATTGCACTGGTAGAACTTGGCACACTCGGTTTCATGTGGCCGGAAGCTGCTTACTCCGGGAGAGCAGTCCTCGGCTGGTGGAACTGCTGCACACACGGCTATCACTGTGAACCAACACAAAAAGGAGTCTCAATGCTTCGTGAGTTCGTGAGTGAGTTCGTGAGTGAGTTTGTGAGTTCTCGAGTTCATGAGTGAGTGAGTGAGTAGGGTTTAACGCCGATTCGGGGATTGAACCCATTATCCAAGGATTAGGCAAAGCCAAGGGAAACAACTCCGCACGGCGATTTTGAAAACATAGCAGATTATCCGTCAGTGCCTCTCTCGATACTTTTGTTATTTGGTCATCAAGGAAGCGCGACTCTAATTACACCTGGTTGTATGTGGGTAGGTATCTATAAAAACGCCCACACTTTCTTTGGACTCTTTCACTGCTCATGTCAGTAAGGGAGACAATGCCTGGTAACGCCCAAGTCAGCAATGCTCCAGCTATATGACGACGAGCTGTAAATAATCGAGTCTGGACCAGACAATCCAGTAATTGATATCATGAGCATCGATCTACGCAATTGGGATTCGATGACATCCCTCAAACAGGTCAGCGAGCCTGACCACCCGATCCCGTTAGTCGCCTCTTACGGCAAGCATTTGTTGCTGATGATGAAGGCCTTCCCGGATCTTCACAGAGAGCTGCAAATACTCGGTACAGACAAACCCGTGGTTGATATTATGAGTGCTGAGCCTGATCACCTTTCAATTTTGTCGCCTCTTACAAGCATAGTTTACTGAAGATCAGTTCTATCCTGGAATCCCAACGAGTCTTTTCGTATGTGAGCATGAATGTCCATGGGGTATTGACGTACAAACATTCAGATCGAACTGTAACAGATTGTTTACAATCACCCTGTTTAAATAAAATTTAAAAAGTAATTGACAATCATTTCATGAAAATACCTTGTATTCATGGTGACAAAACTGCCGAACTGGTACTTCGCCGCGCCGTATAAAGTGAAAAACAGATGCAGGAATCATACACTTTGTGTTTCACTGAATATTTTGGAAGGCTGTGCGGACTTGCGTCTTTTGGGCACCTATCATCGTGGGTTCGAATCCCGGTTCGCACCAAATATGTTTCTAGGTTTGTCAGCACCATACCCGTGTTCCTAGTTTTCACCGAAATGGTAAATGTCTGACACCTGAATCACTTCGGGCTTTCCTCCCACATGAAGCCGGCACGCAGTGATATAACTAGAATACAATTCAAATCGGCTTGACACCTAGCTCCCTCACTCATTCACTGTTATTGCGGTTTCGCCATGGTACCTGGAACAAGATATTGCTCACGCGGCGTTAAAAAAACGACAAAACCTTTCCATATTCATAAGAATTCTGCCAAAAGCAGAGTAGTTTGTACAATTCCGACTACATCATCAACAATATTCAAGCCCATGTTCAAGCAAGTTGACGTAGGACTGTGTAAGATCGTAGACTTCAATCACAACCACGGCACAATTCGAAGGCCTTTCGTGAAACATTTGGTCAGAGAGGTATAAAGCCAATCCCACTCACACCACCTCTAGAACAAAGCTAAAACATTATATATCGTCCGATAAAAGATGGCACAAAAACTTCAAATTGAGTAATTAATAGAAAAAACACCATTACCAAAGCGGTTTATACCCTGACTGTGTTTAAGAAGAAGGATTCTCTTGAATGGTAAATTTCACATTTAACTTTGTCACTTTGATGAAACCCATTAAACTTTGAACTCATACCCTAACATTACATCATGTATCCATCAATTCAAGGACATATTATACAATACAGGCATAGAGATCTCCTTAATATAATATGTTTGTCTTTTACAAAATTATAAGGTAATAATGTTATTAAGAATCCACCTACCGGCCAGAAAAAGCAATATTTTCCTCATATCCAGCATCTTGGTAACACACGACTAAAGATTGAAATCTTACTCTCTGAAAATGTCAATCTACCCGTGTATTCTATTATACCATGGCGACAGTGTCAATCAAGGAGGAAGACATCACAACGAACCCTCCCTGACACGACAACAGCTCATTGGCTCATCGTTTTCACTGACGAGAATTTGATTGGATGTAGCTCTTGAAGACGCCCGGCGATTGGCTTACCAGAGGGAGTTGTGGTGGATCAATCATATCCCTTCTATGATTACTTTCCAGTTTGATGAATATCATGACAAAGTGTTCACCAAATAAGATCGTGTGTTTCTCACAAGGAGATGTGTGCACCGGCAAGAGCATATCTGATTTCAACAATAGAACTAATGTTTTCATAGGATTAGCGCAATGTCCCGCTATGTGTATCTACTCTGGTACATATTTCCAGGACTTGAAGCGGCTATAATCATGCGTTTTACTTTTGTGGCCTGTAAACGTTTCACCATGTGGATGTTATGATTATGATTATCATTAAAATGCGTTCAGAACTATCCACATACGGGAAATGTCATTCTAAGGAACTGGGCTGGGAGTTGTTGAAGACGGCATGTTTGTCAATAACTGCCGTAGAGCATATATTTTTTAAGGACATCAAACATGTAAAGCGAACACTGTTTAAAATAGTCTGAGCCTAAAGCGGTTCTATTCTTCCCGCTCTGTTACATACTTGGAGGCAATGGACCAGTGAAACTAAGACATTGTTCCAACATAATCAGTCCAACTGTTTGACTGAAATATAATTACAATAGAACCAAACTGGCTACACCTGTCAGTTAGTAGGAGTGATCCGTGAAGATCCGGGACAGAAAACGTCTTCAGCAACCCTCGCTTGCCGTAAAGGGCGACTATGCTTGTAAGAGGCGGATAACGGGATATGGTGGCCAGGCTCGCTGACTTGGTTTGATGCATGTCATCGTGTCCCAATTGCGTGGATCGATGCTAATGATGTCAATCACTGGATTGTCTGGTTCCGACTCGATTATTTACAGACCGCCGTCATATAGCTGGAATATTGCTGAGTGCGGCGATAAACAACAAGCAAACAAACAAACAAAGCTAGTCGGAGTAAAGACGCTTTGGGGAAGGATTGTGTTCCAAGCACGGTGTCTAATTCCTCTGTAGCTCCTCGTGGTTCCATGGGAGGGACCAAGGCACTCTGTCTGCCTGTCTGTCTGTCTGATACACTGCTACACATGATACAATTTTGAGATAGAAGACAAGCATGCATTTAAGATCGCTTGAAATAAACACCCCATGACCAAGTGTATTTGTCAAACGGTGCAATTTGTTTTTATTAGATCGTGTCAAAAAAATCATTTCAAACATATTTAAAGAAATGGATAAATATTTCAACGGCTTATCACTCCGAATTGTAAAATCAGAGAAGCATCTCATGTTGACTGATGCTATCTTTTTGTTTCCGAATTCGTTTGAAGTTCAAGCTAACGGTGTTTACCAGGATGTTGTCATGGGTCGTGTGCACAAACTGAAAAAGAGGAAACAGAATGGACCCATTCTGTTCCAGCCAACTGTCATCGACAGTTTGGTTGCCCCATATGACCAGTTTGTACTGAGGACTAAAATAACCGTTTACCATCATATGTAAGCATCAATATATTAATTGTGTGACCAAAGAGCTTGGTACTGATGACACATCAAATAATGCCAGTATGTTAACTAAGGAAGAAATCTGTCAAAACCCACGCTTCAGTAAATCAATTTTGGCTTTACCCTAAAACCTGAAGATATGTCCATTCCTCTTTTGTACTGGATTTCAAAGCCCAATAAAATCCGTACAAAGGGCACATTTTTCTGGATCCATCAAATGTACCACCAAATCCCTGTCTCAAAGATGAACCATAATCCTTAAGACAATCAATCTTTTCATTCACAGAACGTATTTGAGACAAGTGGAGTTAATACCATGTGGCTTCTCAAAACCTTAAACGATTGGCTTGAATTTTGCAATCTCAGAAAAGAACCAGGTTCAATTCTGTCAAAACATTTTAATTTTCCGACTTTGTACACGACTACCCCATAAGGAACCCTTCATTCCTTAACCCTTGGGTCGTTTGCTACTAAACATGATGACATTGATACAGTTACATGTCAAAGGAGCAGGACAATGTGTCAAAAATGACAGAAAATGACCTCTGAAGGTTATTGGGAACATCAATGTGAAATGTGGGGATTGGACATTCAGGCAAGGAGTAGGCATCCTCATGGGCGCCAACTGTGCTCCCTACTTGTTCGTTTGTTCTTTATGCACACAAGTCACAACTTCTGCAAAACCAACACATGGGAACTTGGCCAAGGAGTTTAACTGAAGCTTCAGGGATATAGATGATATATTTCAATTATAGTCGATTCCCTTCCACTTATTTACCCGCCTGAACTTGAAGTAAAAGAGATCAGTGAAATCGCCTCATCTGTTTCATATTTAGATCTATGCATAAAGATTCAGAGACGTTCATGTATATACATATATATGTATATTCGTCTTGGGATGACTTCAACTTTCCAATAGTCAACTTTCTGTTTATGCCGAGCAATGATCCCGCAGTTCCCGCCTTTGGTGTCTGCATTTCAACAACTTTTGAGATTAAATCGAAAATGCTCTTTCTGTAAAGATTTCAAAGAGCGCCATACGATTCTTCAAAAGTTGTTCGTAAAGTTTTCAAAAGTCGTTTAGACATAAGGAGGACATTTCCAAATTTGACCCATCAGTGATAAAAATCATGTATCATGCCATTCACTATTCCCGTGTGTTTTTCCAGGTGAATAATTGACGTGCATGTGTTTGTGACCGGTGCCACCGGTGGGGCAGGATACGCTCACTTTTCGCAAACACCCGGTGTCATCGCTATTTGTTAGTAATTGTTAGTAATTAGTAACGCCTGCTTATGATATAATCGGAATCGCACATTCGTCTGTGACGACAACGACATCATTGATGGTACAGTAAACTACGGTTATAACGAACTCAAAGGGACCGCCAATTTTAGTCAGTTATAACCGTGTTCGTTATAAGCATATATGCAGCATATATACAGCAGATTGCCTTGACCAAAACAACAGTTCGTTATATCCGTCAGCTTGTTATAAGCGAGTTCGTTATAAACGTAGTTTACTGTATTTTTATGCAGGCGTTACAAAGGCATATGTTTGATGACGGCGCATGTGCGAAATATCTCTACCAACCATTATATTCTCCCCCTTGAGGGCTGCGGGTTTGAAGTGGTCGCAAAGAACCCGCGCTTGTCGTAAGAGGCGACTTAATGGATCAGGTGGTCAGGCTGGATGATGTGGTTGGTGGCATGGTTTCGTACCCCGACGGCGTGGATCGTTGTTCACAATATCATTCACTGGATTGTCTGGTTCAGACTCGATTATGTACAAGCCGCCGTCAAATGGAAGATTGTTGTGTGCGGTGTAAAACAACAGACACAAACATCTTGCCTGATATGATTCTTGATTTGCCGAAGATTTCGTTCTGTGTGATTAAGGTAATTATTAGGTAAAAAGGTAATAATTTCATTATTTCATTATTTTATTATGAGCGAGCGAGCGAGCGAGCGAGTGAGTGAGCGAGTGAGCGAGTGAGTGAGCGAGTGAGTGAGTGAGTGAGTGAGTGAGTGAGTGAGAGGATTGGAAAATTTTGGAAAAAAGTAATTACGATAATGCTTTAGAATTTTTGCAAAATGTTCATTAACTATTATGAATTGTATATTTAATTGGAACTGAAACACTCCCATTGGCTGTCAGTATAGGTAATAACCTTATACATACTGTATTGTTCAAATTCAGTCAAAGCCTCCACGTTGCATAAACGATCAACAGGATGCAGTACACTACTGTACTTATCATAACGTTATCCTTACAGAATAGTGTTGTCTTTGTAAACCTGTTCAACAAACAGTTTGAAAGGTGTGTTAAGATTGTTAAACTTCCCACAGCGGTCGACACTATGGCGACGTGATGCGGCTGCTGAAGTTCAGCTTGAAGGTGATGTGTTTAGACAAAGTATTATTGTTCGATAATTTGATACATACGTGAGTGTCACAATGTCCCGGATCGAAGCTCCAGTCTCGGCATCTCGTCGTGACAACACACGGCAGGTTGGAACTGTTTTGTCACCGAGTTATAACAATCGAACGCTACAGGTGGGCTCAGCTAAGTAAACAGGGCGTGAGACGGGGGAATACGTCGACGTGGGGTAAACAATGGCCCCCCTCATCTCGGGGGTAGTGGGAGTGATACGCCACTCCCCAGCATGACTCAAGTATGAGACGGATCTTGATGCGCAGTTTGAAACGGGCGTGGAACTGTTATTGTAGGCTATATTGATTAAGTTACATTGTACCTACATCGGTACGTATTACCTGTGTTAATGGGCGAGCTCCGACATAAGAGAACACTATGTGCCCGGGGTTCGCTCTGAACAGTTGAATGATTATGGATACGATAAACCTTAGTTCGAATCCCATTTTCGCTCTGCCTGTTGGTTTGTCAGCACCATGTCTGTTATTGTCGCCTTCATCAAGGCGGTAAACGTTAACGATCTTTATCTTAGCATTATCAAAACCGCAAACATATTTTTCCCACAGATATAACATTTAATAATGAGTTGTTCTTTGGCACATTTTGCGATATAATTAGTTTTATAGGTAGTTCATGAACATTGGAACTAAACAATTTCATAACCTACAAGATCTTCTTACACTTAACCCAATTTCGAGATTAGGGTATAATCTATATTAGGATATTTTTGGTTAGTAAACATCACCATTAGAAGTTTCGAAATATCGAGCAAGGCAGGAATACCGCTGTGCGTTGTCAGGGAAAAAACACAAACGTTTTTATGAAAATTGTGTGGTTGGCGGGTGCCCCTTGTAGGGAAAGACATGTTTACCCTTTTCGCGAACAGCTGGTGTCATCGTTGAGTTTCACTGATCCATTCATATAGCTTTCACAGCTATTTTGCTTTCACGCCCAATGAAATCTGTTTCGTTGGAATTGTCATAGT